CAATGTATTAGGTTCGGCGTATTTTGCACTGTATCTTACGCGGTGTATTAGATATATTATGCGTTGTAGTTAGACAGTGTTTAGGATGACTGACCACAGTGTGTTGGATACACTGCAGCTCACACAATGTATTAGATACACCATACTTTACACAGTGAATTAGATACAGTAAAAAACTGCTGATAACTAGTCATTCTGGGGGAAAAGATCCTCAGTGCCCAGTTATCAGGAGTGGCGAGCTCGGCGTCTGCATTAAACATATGAATAAATGTGGCCGGGATGTTTACGGGTCTATGACTTAAGTGGTTGTGACAAGTTAACCCAGGTTCGAGTTATCGAGAGTTCACTGTACACAACAACAACCAATTACATTTACACAGCGCTTTGCACGTCCCAAGACACTCGATTTGCAGCTGAGCTGGGGTTTGGGATCACAAGGGGTGGAGGGCAGGGAGGGTGGGGGTAGGAGGGTGACTGAAGGCGTGGTCGAAGAGAAGGTTGGGGGGGGTGGAGGCTTGAGGCGACGAGGGAAAAAGCGAGGTCCACTGTAGTTTACACGGTGTATTGGGTGGGAACCTGCAGTGTGTGCCAGACATCAGTTAATGTGAAGCACAAAGCCACATTTCAATGTGATAAAGTGCTGTGACAATACAAGTTCTTTCTTTTCTACGACTGGAGTCAAAGAAATTGAATGTGTTACATTGAAGAGCAGTGGGAAGGTGCGCGTTGATATCAGCCAACTCTCTGTTGTGATATCAGTCACAAACGGGGAAAGCTGGTTAGACTCCAGCAGTTACCCCAACGCACACTCTGGGGTCCCCAAACCTTGGCTCTCTGTGAAGCGCTTTGGGACGTCCTCCCGACGTGAAAAGCGCAATACCAAATGCAAGGATTATTATTATTATCCCAAAGCGCTTCACAGAATATGCTGTAAAGTGAATTGACTGTATATTTGTGGGCGAACGCGGCAGCCAATTGCGCACAGCAATGTCCCACAAACAGTCGTAGATTGAAAATGACCAATTTATTATTGTTTTGTTTTGGAGGGATTATTATTATTAGATAAGCAGAATGTGTCTCTCTAAGGGGGGGGGGGGGGGAGAGAGAGAGAGTGCGTTCCATCCCAACAATCTATCTCTGGGATTTCCATGTGTGGGCGGGAGGCACGGAGTTTGGATACTCTTAACGCACACGGTGGTGGGTTTCCGCATGTGTCAGACACCCGGCTGACCACATTTTTTTTGGCTCCAACAACAATAATAATAGTAGTAATAATTATTCTTGCGTTTGATATCTTTATCACGTCTTCCAGACGTCGCAAACCCTTCACAGAATAACACAAAGTGTGTAGCTACCGTCACCCGGTGGACACCATGTGTAACGGCCTTGGTGTAATTTGCACAAAGAATGGTTTGGTGTGTGATCTGTAATATCCACCCAAACGGTGAGTACAAATCGCTGACTGTGAGAAGCCATAAGTCAAACACTATTTTGTTTTGTGGAGTCCCGTAGCTCAGTGGTTAGAGCGCTCGCCTCGCAAGCGAGAGGACCCGGGTTCGATTCCCGGGCAGGGAGTACGGCAAGTTTCCTTACTCCACACACTCGCCTCTGTTTGCTTAGCAGTAAGTAGGAACCCGCTTGTTCGTCGATCGGCAGATCGCTTTTCCGGGGATAATAATAATTTCAAAAAATATCAACAACAATAATTTGGGTCACTCAATCCGAGACTGCTCGCGGGACGCTGCTTGTGCGCAATTGGCTGCCGCGTTTCGCCCACAACACATACGGTCAACCCACTTTATATCCTGTGAAGCGCTGTTGAGACGTCTCGAAGACGTGATAAGGCGCTGTGTCAAATGCAAGGATTGTTATTATTATTTATTATTATTATTGGTTTAGCTTGGCGGCAGTGAGGGCTGGCCACCTGTTTGACAGGTGAGACAATCCAGGGGTTTGCCTAACCAAGCTACCTTGTTCCCGTAGCAACAGCACGCGTGTGTGTGTGTCTGTGTGTGTGTGTGTGTGCAATGTCTTGAGTTGCCGACAGCAGGTCACGCTTTGCCCCTCGCACGCGGCCTCGCTCGCTCGCTCGCTCGCTCAGTTCCGATGGCCCGCATCAGTCTCACTCTCTCGCGAGGTCTTTCACACACTCACCGCTGCATAGCAAGAACAACTATTTGCCCCTCACCCAGGGCGGCGTCCCGGAGCGCTTGACGATGGCGGTGCCTAACACCAAGATGCGGGGGGGGTGGGGGGAGGGCGGGAGAGTGGGGAGGTGACCATGGGCCACAGTCAAAGAGGTAGATCTTCGGGCACGACCTGAAGGTGGGGGTGGAAGGGGCAAGTGCACATCGCTGACCGTGAGAAGCCATAAGCCGTGAGGGAAGAGCGTTCCAGAGTTTCGGGGCTGAAAGCGCGGCCACCGATGGTGGAGCGGAGGGCACGAGGGGCAAGCAAGAGGCCGCGGTTAGTGGGTGGGGGAGTGAGCAGGTCGGGGAGGGAGGGAGGGAGGGAGGGAGGGAGGGAGGGTGGGAGGGTGGTGCCAGGGCGGGAGCGGATTTGAAAAACAAGGGCGACGATCTCGAAATCGATCCGTTCGGCGAGAGGGAGCCGGTGGAGTTTGGTTGGAGCTGGTGTGATGGGGGGGGGGGGTCGGGGGGGGGGGGGATTCGCTGGGTCTTGTACCTGGCGTAGCTGGGGAGACGGGGGCAAAGGGGGACACGCGGGCGTAGACCTGCTGTTGTTGTTGTTGTTACACACACCGTTTCCATAGCCGCAGTGCGGGGATCCCGATAAATGCGGATTAATCAATAATCCTCGCGTTCGGGACAGGGCCTCATCATGTCGTCGGGATGGTCTCAAAGCGCTTCACAGGACCCACGGAGCAACGAAGTGACTGCGTGTTTCTTAGGCAAACGCGGCAGCACAACTGCGCCCGGAAACGTCCCGCGAACAGCCGCGAAACCGGCCGCAGATTGTACTTGGGGCGAATTTTCGGGTGGGGGTGGGGGGGGTGGGGGGTGGGGGTGGGGGGAGAGATTGCTGTCCAGGACACGGGGAGAGAGAAGGACTTTGCCCACGAGTGAGCGAGGAGATAGTGAGGGAGATAGAGGCTGACGGTGAGGGAGGAGGGAGGGAGGGAGGAAGGAGGGAGAGTGAATGAGACAAATAGTGAGGAGGGAATGAGACAGACAAATAGGAGGGAGGGAGGGAGTGAGACAGATGGAGAGGAGGGAGGGAGGGAGGGAGGGAGTGAGACAGATGGAGAGGAGGAGGGGGGAGAGGGAGTGAGACAGATGGAGAGGAGGGAGGGAGGGAGGGAGTGAATGAGACAGACAGATAGGAGGGAGGGAGGGAGTGAGACAGACGGAGAGGAGGGAGGGAGGGAGGGAGGGAGACAGACGGAGAGGGAGGGAGGGAGTGAGACAGACGGAGAGGAGAGAGAGGGGGGGGAGGGAGGGAGTGAGACAGACGGGGAGGAGGGAGGGAGGGAGGGAGGGAGAGGGAGAGGAGCTGAGCTGCCGCGGGTTGGGGCGGTGCCGGGGCCGGGGATGGGGGACAGGAGCGGGTTAGGGTTGGGGTTGGGGTCCGGGGTGGGGTGGGGGTGGGGGCCGTGTCCGGGCTGGGGGGGGGGGCGCCGCGGGAGGAGCCGGTGTGGGGCGGGGGCGGCGGGGAGGGGAGGGGGGGCGGGGGGCGGCGGGAGAGGGGGGGCGGGAGGCCGGTGTGTGTGGACAGCTCCAAGGCCAGGACCTCACTGCGGGGTCTGAGAGCCGCGGTCACAGCCCTGGGCTGGCGGGAGGTGAGACCCCGGGGGGGGGGGGGGAGGGTATGTAGGGGAGAGTGTAAGGGGCGGGGGCGAAAGGGGGCGTGGGGGAGGGCGAGGGCGAGGGGGGCGCGGGTGAAGGGGCGGAGTGGGCGAGGGGGCCAAGGTGGGGAGAACGGGTGAAGAGGGGGCGAGCGGGTGAAGGGGGGGCGAGCGGGTGAAGGGCGCGAGCGGTGAAGGGGGGCGAGCGGGTGAAGGGGGGCGAGCGGGTGAAGGGGGGCGAGCGGGTGAAGGGGGGCGGAGCGGGGTGAAGGGGGGGCGAGCGGGTGAAGGGGGGGCGAGCGGGTGAAGGGGCGCGAGCGGGTGAAGGGGGCGCGAGCGGGTGAAGGGGGCGCGAGCGGGTGAAGGGGGCGCGAGCGGGTGAAGGGGGGGTGTGTTGTGGATTAAGTGACCAAAATAATTATTATCATTTTTGAAGCGATCGTTACCCCCGGAAAGCGATCTGCCAATCGACTAACAACCGGGTTTGGGTGTTGGGGTTGGGAGGATTTGGGGGGGAGAGATGGGGTTTGTAGGAGGGGTTGGGGATTGGGTTTGGGGGGGTAGGTTATTGGGGGGATTTGGGTTTTGAGGTTGGGGGTTTGTGGGTTGGGGTTGGGGGTGGTGTTTGGTTTGGGGTTGGGGGGTTAGGTTTGGGGGTTGGGGTTGGGGGAGTTTGGGGTTGAGGGGATTGGGGGGGCTAGGGTTGGGGGAGTTTGGGGTTGAGGGGGGGTTTGGGGTTGGGGGGGTTAGGGTTGGGGGAGTTTGGGGTTGGGGGGTTAGGGTTGTGGGAGTTTGGGTTTGGGGGCGTTGGGGTTGGGGGTGTTTGGGTTTGGGGGGCGTTGGGGTTGGGGTGTTTGGGGTTGGGGTGTTTGGGGTTGGGGGGTAGGGTTGTTGGGGGTAGGTGTTGTTGGTGGGGTTGTTGGGGGGGGGTTGTTGGGGTTGTGCTCTGACCCGTGTGTTCAGTTTCCAGGTGGCCGCCGTCTCCCCTGTGATATTTACTGGCATGGTGTCTCCTTCCTTGACTCCCCCTGTCCCCACAGCGGCCAGGTCAACAAGTACCCAGGTATGGCCCCCCTCCCCCACCGGCACACAGCCCCTCCCCCACCGGCACACAGCCCCCCCCCGGCACACAGCCCCTCCCCCACCGGCACACAGCCCTCCCCCACCGGCACACAGCCCTCCCCCACCGGCACACAGGCCCCCCCCCCCACCAGCACGCAGCCCCTCCCCCCCCCACCGGCACACAGCCCCCCCCCCCCCCCAACCAGCACACAGGCCCCCCCCCCCCCCCGGCACACAGCCCCTCCCCCACCGGCACACAGGCCCTCTCCCACCGGCACACATCCTCTCCCCCCGGCAGAGCCCCTCTGGCCCATGAACAGTGCTGGGTGTCGGGGCTGGGGGTTGGGCTGTCGGGGGCCCTGGGTTTGGTGGGGCGGGGAAGTCGGGCAGTTGGGGGGAAACGGCTGTGTGTGGGGGTTGGGGGTCGAGGTATCGGGAGCAGTGGGTTCGGTGGGGGGGGGGGGTTTATGTGTGTGGGGGAGACTCTCACACTGTGTGTCTGACCTCAGGAATGCTGGAGACGGTGCGGAAAATCACCTTCAGCCGAGCCATGAGGCTCCTCCAGCGACTCTTCCCTGAGGAATACAACTTTTACCCTCGGTCCTGGGTCTTACCTGAGGAGTATCACAGCTTCATCGCCCAGGTACAGCGTTCGCTCCCAGACCCACCCCCCCCCCACCCCTCACCCCCACACAGACTTCATCGAGACAATCCTTGGGACAAATTGGCTGCTGCATTTGCCCACAAAATATAATAATAATAATCCTTGCATTTGATATAGCGCTTTTCACGTCGGGAGGACGTCCCAAAGCGCTTCACAGAACATACTGTAAAGTGAATTGACTGAACACAGCAGCCAATTGCGCACAGCAATGTCCCACAAACAGTCGTAGATTGAAAATGACCAATTTATTATTGTGTTTTGTTTTGGAGGGATTATTATTAGGCTCTGTGTGGAGTAAGGAAACTTGCCCAAGGTTTCGCCCTCTGCCTGGAATTGAACTCAGGTCTCTCGCTTGCAAAGTGAGTGCTCTAACCACTGAGCTACAGGACTCGTGTGTCAAAGCGCTTCACAGGATATACTGTAAAGTGAATTGACTACATTTTGTGGGCAAAACGCTGCAGCCAATTGCGCACAGCAGCGTCCCCCGAAAAGTCGTGGATTGAGTGACCAAATTATTATTTAAAAATTTTTTTTTTGAAGGAATTATTATACCCGGAAAGCGATCCCCCAATCGACTAACAACCGGGTTCCTACTTACTGTGGGGTAAAAAGAGGTGTGTGGAGTAAGGAAACTTGCCTGTGGAGTTTCGCTCTGTCCAGGAATCGATTCCGGATCCTCCTGCTTTGAGAATGTGTGAAGGCGCTGTATTAAACACAAGGATTATGATGATGTGTTTGTTTCTGACTTTCCCTCTGACTCGCTCTCTGTCTGACTACTGAATCTCTCTCTCGGACTCACTGACTCTCTGTCTCTCTCTTTCTCTGTCTCTCTCTTTCTCTGACTCTCTCTCGGACTCTCTTTCTCTCTCGGACTCTCTCTCTCTCGGACTCTCTCTCTCTCGGACTCTCTCTCTCTCGGACACTCTCTCGGACTCTCTCTCTCTTGGACTCTCTCTTCAGTAACAAGTACCCATATTGCTGTTATGTTGCTGTTGGTGTTGAGTGCCCGAGCTCCGTTGACAGTTCACCTGCACAGGAAACCTTTTAGTTCCACCCGATGCCAGCAGGCGACTAAACACTCTGTTCATCTTCTGAAGAGACTTGGGGGGAATGAAATCAAAGGAAGATTTGCAGCCAGGAGTGTTGGTGTGAGGCTCTGATTCCGTTGAATATTTCAACTGACGGATGATGAATTTAACATTCTCTTAAGAGAAAAGAAAACTCTTCCAAAAACTTACAGAGGATGAATTATTCACTGAGGCACAGTGTACACAACCTTCCACCTTTACAGCCTCCAGAGCGCAAATTGCAATTCAGATGAAATGCAAATGAACATGAAGGCTGAGTGAACCGAACGCTGTAAATAATCCTGTGTGTATTGTGATTGCTTACCTCAGTTGGTAGATTCCGGGCCCCCGCCTCAGAAGGTTCGGGGTTCAAGCCCCAACGTTGGGGTCTTTTTGAGCTCACAGTCCGGGTTGACGCTCCAGTACAGCGTTGTGAGTGAGCCCCGCCGTAACGGAGCTGCTGTCCTTCGGATGAGAACTGAGGTTACAACTGAGGTCATTTCTGTGGCCTGTTCAGGTGGACGTTAAATGATCCTGTGGCGCTATTTGAAAAGACAAGGGAGTTTCTCCCAGAGAAAATCGGTCATGTGTGTGCGTGCGATACACCAGTGACTGTAGTAGGACGATAGCTGTCTTCCCCTGCAAAAAAACACAGTCACTGCCCTTAACAGTGAAGCACTTTGCAACATCCACCTGGCATGAAAGGCGCTGTATCAAATGCGAGGATTCTTCTTATTTTTAGAATAAGTCTTAAGATTGAGACCGTGGAGTCCTGTAGCTCAGTGGTTAGAGCACTCGCTTTGCAAGCGAGAGACCTGAGTTCAATTCCAGGCAGAGGGCGAAACCTTGGGCAAGTTTCCTTACTCCACACAGAGCCTAATAATAATCCTCCAAAACCAAAAAACAATAATAAATTGGTCATTTTCAATCCACGACTGTTTGTGGGACATTGCTGTGCGCAATTGGCTGCCGCGTTCGCCCACAAATATACAGTCAATTCACTTTACAGCATATTCTGTGAAGCGCTTTGGGACGTCCTCCCGACGTGAAAAGCTCTATATTAAATGCCAGGATTATTATTATTATTATTATTATATAAGATTGATATAGCTGGGGGAAGCATTTCTCAGTGGCACCAGCAGGGGATGGTATAGGGACACCTCCGGGTGGGTGAGAAACAGGAATCTGTGTGTGTGTATTTGCCAGATGGTGGCGCTCGTTTCTTAGTTGCTGGTGGATTTTCGAGCTGGAGGTTAGGACCGGTGGGGAGTGGGGCCAATACGCAGACCAACTCTCGGATAAAGCACGCGGATACCCTCAGCCATGAGGTGCATCAGTTGATTGGGGGGGGATAGAGGTGGGGGGTCAGTAAAGGAAGAGGAGATTCCACCTCCCCCCCACCCCAACGCCCCCCCCCACACCCCACCATTTCGGACAAAGTCCAGAAGAAAAAGGCTGAGTGTACGAAACGATGCAAAAATCACCAATAATAATACCAAGAATCCATAACACTGGTAACCAATAGTAATAATAATAATAATAATAATAATCCCTGCATTTGATACAGCGCCTTATCACGTCTTCGAGACCTCTCAAAGCGCTTCACAGGATATACTGTACAGCGAATTGACTGCATATTTGGTAGAAAATATTCTTGATTACTGTTCGTTTGTTGTTACCAGTAACAATGACAATAATATAATAACAATAACACAGTAGCGATAATAACATAGTAACAATAACGACATAGTGACAATAATAACATAGTGACAATCATAATAACATAGCAACAATAAAAATACAGTAACAATAAAAATAATACAGTAACAACGATAGTGTTAACAATAATAACAATCAACTGATAATAGCAACAGTTGTTACGTTTGACATGTAGTAGTGTCAAATTCCCAACAGCGCCTTATTACGCTGTCTGAGGCGGGGGGTGTGTTTGCTGAGGTTATAAGAATCTGTAGTAACGAGCAACTCCGTATATCTGGACGCGGACGGCTTGGCTTTCAGTCTCCCAGAGGACTGCCAGAGGTTAGCTCTCTGCTGCTGCTCTGCTCATAATGAGCTGCTCCTTGCTGTCCCTTTGATCAGCCTGATACACGCACTCGCACATGCACATGCACACGCACACACACATACACGCACACATGCACACACATACACGCACACGCGCACACACATACACATACACACACACGCGCACACACATACACGCACATGCGCACGCACGCACGCACACAGATCCCCGAATCATTCCTCAGAAAGTTGCAAGATCTCTTCAGGCAATCGGAAATGATCCACCCTTTGTGACGTTCATTAAAATCCACCTGATGATGATGATAATAATAATAATAATAATAATAATAATAATAATAATAATCTCTGCATTTGATACAGCGCCTTATCACGTCGTCGAGACGCCTCGAAGCACTTCACAGGATGTACCTTAAAGTGGGTTGACCCTATATTTTGTGGGTGAAACGCGGCAGCCAATTGCGCACAGCAGCGACCCCACAAACAGCCGAGGAGTGAGCGATCAATTGAATTTGTTTGGGAGGCTTGTCGGCCAGCACACCGGGAGAGAGAAACTCCCTTCTCTTTTCGAGTAGCGCTGCGGGATCTTTAACGTCCACCTAGACGGGAGCTCGGGTTACCCTCTCATCCGGCAATGCAACATCCACTATGGAGCGTCATCTTAGATTGTGTGATTCCAAGTCATGACGTGGGGCTTGAACCCACAATAATAATAATAATAATTGATATAGTGCCTTATCACATCATTATAATAACTTATTAATATAATTATATAACATTTAATAATAACATTGTAATGTTGGAGATGAGAGTGAGCCCACTGATGTTGTGCTGTTTTGGGGGGGGACAGGGGCGAGCGGCGAGAGAGAAGGACACCTCGCGGAGAACCACGTTCATCGTGAAGCCGGACGGAGGGTCCCAGGGCGACGGGATCTACCTGGTTAGGGAGACGGAGGACGGGAGGCTGGGGGTCTCGCTCCATGGGAAGCCCGCCGTGGTGCAGGAGTACATCAGTCGGCCGCTGCTGATGGATAAGCTGAAGTTCGACATCCGTCTGTACGTGTTACTTAAGTCCCTGCAGCCCCTGGAGATCTACATCGCCAAGGACGGTCTCTCCAGGTTCTGTACCGAGCCCTACCAGGAACCCAGCAGCAAGAACATCCACCAGTTATTCATGCACTTAACCAACTACTCACTCAACATCCACAGCGGGAACTTCATCCACTCCGACAACGTCAACACGGGCAGCAAGAGGTCCTTCTCCAGCGTGCTGGCTCGGCTCTCGCTGAAGGGCTGCGATGTCAAGAAGATTTGGTCGGACATCATCTCGCTGGTCATCAAGACCATCGTGGCTTTGGTTCCCGAGCTGAAGGTTTATCACCAGGCCAACATCCCACCAGCGAGACCCGGTCCCAGCTGTTTCCAGGTCAGCCTCTCGGCCCCCACCCTCTGAAACTCCATCCCACAGACCCTTCGCCTCATTCCATCCCCTGCCTCCTTCAAGGCATGTCTCAAGACCTTCCTCTTTGACCGCTCCTTCGGTCACCCTCCTACCCCCACTCTCCTGCCCTCTACCCCTCTGATCCCAACTCCCTGCTCGTGTCCAAATCCCTGACTGTCCAGCCCATTGGGGCGTCCTCCTGACGTAAAAGGCGCTAGACAGTTGTAATCTCGGAGTCTGATGTGACTTTGAGTGTGAGCGCATGTGGGCGTTTGTGAGCACATATGTGCGTGCGCCAACCGTTGTGTTACAGCCCACATTGCGTGCATCAGCGTGATCGTGTGCACAATTGTATGTGTGTACGTTAAACCTCACATAAGTTGTATCACAAAATATACAGTCATTTCACGTTACAGTGTATCTCGTGAAGCGCTTTGAGACGTCTCAACGACGTGATAAGGCGCTACATCAAATGCAAAGATTATTAATATCATTTGGGGCCATGCATTTAATATGACTTACACAAAGTAGGAGTTATGTCAGGATAAAATCTCTTGAACGGGACTTGGGTAAATGCACAACTTAGGCGATTATACGATTTATACAGAGGTTTATTATTATAATAATTACGATTTATACAGAGGTTTATTATTAATAATAATAATAATAATAATAATCCTTGCATTTGTATACGCTTCACCAGGAGATCAGACTTATACGAGGTTTACTGTGTTGAGTGCGCGAGTTGATACAGACGCGTCAAGATAGGGCTTTGAAATTTCCGTCAGAAACCTAACCTAACGAAAACTTCACCTAAAGTTTTTTTTGTTTCCCCAGATTTTAGGGTTCGATATCCTGCTGATGAAAAACATGAAACCTGTGTTACTGGAAGTGAATGCTAACCCCAGCATGAGAATAGACCACGAACAGGAGGTGAGATCTAACCCCATTCCCCTGCTCTCTCTCTCTCCCCACATCGTGTCTGTGCTAGGGCTCGCTCCCCCACTGGAGCTCTCTACCCTAACCCCATTCCCTGCATCACAATAATTATAATAATAATAATAGTCACTCCTTTACAGCATATCCTGTCCAACAATTTGAGATGTGTTGACAGCATAATAAGGTGCTATATCGAATACAAGGATTATTATTATTATTAGAAAACGCAGGAGATTTGTGGCAATTGGCATCCATTCCACTTTATAATTGACGTCTATATACATATATACACTATACTTTTCATGTCGGAAGGACGTCACAGACGGGCCCTGGTTTGAGAGCAGAGCGCTGGGGGTTCGGAGCTTCTCTACGTCACTCCTGGGGGGCCGGGTATCAGACGGGGGGCACAAAGCCTTTGTAGAAAGATATCAGCCTCGAAAAAAAAAGAGAGAGAGCGATTTGTGCATCGTAAATTCACTTTGTTCTTCACTGCAGAGAGTTCAAAGGATCTCTCTGTCAGTGGTAACTTTTGAAATGGTGATGCTCTGCTCAGCCGAGGAAATATTTGTTGAGATGTGATGCGAGGAAGGGAAAAGCATCTGAGAAAATTCCCTGAAGATTAGCCCAGCGCAACAGGAAGACATTACCCACCCACCCCCAACCCCCGCGGTCACAACCCCTAGCACAGTGAGGTTATCTCCCCCCACCCCTGCCGCCCCCCATCACATTGAGTACCTGGGCACTGCGAAGAGGTGAATGACCTGTTCATCTGTCAGTCAGGTCAGGACACTGTAATATGCTGTGCTGCGCTGTGCCAGGCTGTGCTGTGCCAGGCTGTGCTGTGCCAGGCTGTGCTGTGCCAGGCTGGGCTGGGCTGTGCTGGGCTGTGCTGTGCTGTGCCGGGCTGCGCTGTGCCAGGCTGTGCTGTGCCAGGCTGGGCTGGGCTGTGCTGTGCCAGGCTGTGCTGTGCCAGGCTGTGCTGTGCCAGGCTGGGCTGGGCTGTGCTGGGCTGTGCTGGGCTGTGCCGGGCTGCGCTGTGCCAGGCTGTGCTGTGCCAGGCTGTGCTGTGCCGGGCTGGGGCTAACGGTGTTGCTGTGCTGCAGGTGGCTCCGGGGGTGTTCGAGGCGGTGCCCAGCCCCGTGGACGAGGAGGTGAAAGTGGCCGTTATCCGTGACACTCTGCGATTGGTGGATCCGGGCCTGAAGAGGAACATTCACAGTCGGTGAGTGTCTGACCCTCGCCCTCGGTAGGGAGAGGGTGGGGGGAGTAGAGGATGGGGGGGGAGGGAGAAAGAGGGAGGAGAGGATGTGGCTTAAACACGGAGCGATGGGACTGGGGACACAAACAGCCGTTGGGCTAATTTATCCATTGAGGGGAATAATCGTTTCCAGGAGAGAAACGCCTTCTCTTTCGGAGCTGCGTTGCGAGCTTCTTTAACGTGCGATCGCACAATCTCCTGTGATCCAGATGTGGGAGTGGCTGCGACAGAGAGGCACAGACTCCTGGCAGTCAGTCTGGCATAAAGATGCAAGTTGTTGCTGTTGTTTATGGGGGCGTGTTTCTGGCGGCGCATTTATGGAGGCGCGTTTGTGAGGGCGCGTTTATGGTGGCGCGTTTATGGTGGCGTGCTGCTGTTTGGCTCGGGGGTCAGGCTCCATTACTGTCAAGGGCACTGAGACGATGCCCTGCGTGGGGGCGTTGAAATAAAAATGCAAGCTGTTGTTCTTGTTGTGTTTTACGCTGGTGTTTGTTTGCTGTCAGTTAACGCATTTGTAACCTGGGTGGCACGGGGACCAATTTGATGATTCCGGGTCAGATTTCCCGATGACCAGACTGAATGCAACAACAACAACAACAACAACACCTTGCATTTATATCTGGCCACCCGGAGCCCTTCACAGTGGTAGAGTCTGACAGCGAGCCAGGGGGAGAGGGAGGTGGCCCTAAAGTAGGATCAAAAAGGAAGGACTGTAGGCAGGATTTGGAGGGGGCAAGGCGGAGGGATTGAGGGAGAGAGTTCCAGGGTTACAACAAGCGGACTTTCTATCCCAGCATTAGCTGTGACCTTCCCGCAGAGATTGTCCGGGGAAAGTCTCCGCTTCCGAAGCCAAACGGCTTAATCCAATCCAAGAGTCACATTTTTGTTTCCATTCGTTTTTCCAAGTGTTCGGCTGTGTTCTCCCGAGACACAGGACTCTGCATTCATATTCCCTAAACAGTCACTCCCAGAGCCATGTTCTCCGGCATTCCCTATTCCCAAGAAGCGCTTTAAGAAGACAAAAATTGCCAGACGAAAGAAGACCAAGGTCCATCAAGTTCACTTTCCACCACTCAAGTGAGATACCTGGGTTTGATTCCCAACAGGGCAAAACGTTAGGCAAGTTTCATTACTCCACACACACACACACGCACACACACACACGCACACGCCTCTGTTTACCTGGCAGTAAGTAGGAACCCGGTTGTTAGCCATTGACACGTGGCTTTTCCGGGGGTAATCGTTCCTTCCAAAAAAAATTAAATTCCTCACTTCAATCCACGACTGTTTGTGGGATGTTGCTGCGCGCAATTGGCTGCCGTGCTTCGCCCACAAAATATGCAGTCACTTTCTGTGAAGCGCTTTGAGCCGTCTCGAAGACATGATAAGGCGCTATATCAAAATGCAAGAATTATTATTTTATTATTATTATTATTATTATCCTGGCAGTCGCTTGCACATGTCGTGTCCTAAACTATATAAACTATATACACTGTATCCTAATAAGATATTATTTCCTAACGTCTCATTTATTCTTGAAAGAATCACGACATTTCTTTGAGACATTTTGTTATATTTCATTATATTAAATGCAAGGATTATTACTATAATAATCATAATAATCATTATATATAATGTATGTATTCAATAACGTTTCCATTTATGCTCATCGAATAGACAACTGCTCGATCACAGAACAGGAATGTTTTCTCAACAGATGAACCTGTACTTTGGGGAAGAGGGGTTTGATTCGGTTGTAATTACCTGGATGATTAAAACAAATGAACCATAAAAACAGCAGCTCGCTGAAAAAAGATCTCGCGCATCACTCCATTACTGGGAAATGGAGGTGTCAGAACTATTTTGCAGTTTAATTTTTCAGTTTTCACTCTTTATTAGTGGGTTAGTGAAGGCAGCAATTTCAGAGTGCTTCCTCTCTCCCTTGTCTTCTTGAAGAAGCTTAACACCGGTGATAATTCGATGCACGCTCGCAACAACGCAAACAACAACAACAACAATAATAATAATAATAATCCTCGCATTCGATAGAGCGCCTTATCATGTCGTTGAGACGTCTCGAAAGAGCTTCACAGAATATAAAGCGCTTCACAGGATATTCAAACAGTCATCTCAGGCGTGTGAGAGAGAGAGAGAGAGAGTGTGCGACTGTGTGTGAGTGTGTGTTTGGAAGAATAAGGTGATGGAGGGGTGGGTGAAGAGCCAGATGTTTTGAAGGATTTGAAGGGAGGGAGGAGAGAGGGTGAGAGGCACAGGGATTTGGGGAGAGAGTTCCAGAGAGTGGGCTGTGGGAAGGTGGGCTCGGTGACTGTCTCCCGGCTCACGATTTGATATATAAATTTATATTTATATAAATCCAAGTTGTTGTTGGTTTTCCAATCAAGCAAGTTCGATTCCCGGGCAGGGCGAAACGTTGGGCAGGTTTCCTTACTCCACAAGCCTCTGTTTACCCAGCAGTAAGCAGGAAGCCAGTTGTTAGGCGATTGACGGATCGGGGTGATAATTCCTTTGAAATAAATTTGAAAGTCATTTGGACACTCAACTCGCGTATGTTTGCGGGACGCTGCTGTGCGCCATTGGCTGCCGTGTTTCGCTCTCAAAATTTACAATGAATTGACTTTACAGCGTATCCCGCGAAGCGCTTTGAGACGTCTCGAAGACGTGATAAGGCGCTGTGTCAAATGAAACGATCATTATTGATATATTCACAGGCCAGTGATTGGGGGGATGAAGCTGAGAGGGAGACCGATCGTGTGGAGGAGCGCAGGCCAGTTCTGCCAACAGCCGGGATGCGGCTGTTGAGTGTCCGCCAGCCCAAATGCTTTTTATTCTGTCGAGTTTTTAATAAAAGGAAAGCTGCTTTCTGTTTGTCTGTGACAGGCTGTGTGAGTGAACCAGAGACACGGGACATTAATGCCCTCCACTGGTGAGAGCTATATTTAGCACTTAGTAATGAGCTTCACTGTGTGTGTGTGTGAGTGGGGAGGAAGGGGGCTGAGCGAGATGCTGAGTTTTTTTATATAAAGGGAATTGGAACGATTTGAATCATAGAATCCTTACAGCACAGAAGGAGACCGTTCAGCCTGTTGTGCCTGTGAAAGGTAAAGCGATTCCCCCCCCCTCCACCCCGCTCTTACCCCATAGCCCTGCACGTTTTTTTTCTTTTCAAGTACATTTCCTTTTGAATTTCATAGAAATGCTACGAACTGTAATCCTTGCATCACGTACACTCAGTTCACTTTGCCCTGTGTCCTGTGAAGCGCTGTGAGACGTCTCGAAGACGCGATAAGGCACTAAATCAGACGCAAGGATTATTATTGTTATTAATATCTGATACGCCGCAAAAAGTTCTCACGGCTCTTCACGGATCATCACCGTCAAACTCAGGCTTCATTCCTCACTCACCTGTGTCCGCGCTCCTCGCTCTCCTGGTGTCTCTGTTCTCCGCATGTGCGAGGACAGACTGAAACGTGAGCAGCTCCGAGTAGGTGACTCCACAGGCGAGAGACATTCCATTTAGCAGCCTCTGATTTATTCCGCTGATAAAGTTCACGGCTAAAACTTAACTGCCGTGAGTCCACATTGCACCAATCCCGAGATCTCAGTCAAGACACGTTCCCAGCTGCGAGACATCAATCAGCAACACCTCCAGCCTCAGAAAGAGCATCAGAAGCAGCTGTTCCCTCTGTTCTGGGATCAGAATATATTTTTTTTTCTGTTCAGCATACATTAACGTAATGACCAGGTAGGAGAGATAAGCCCCAATTCCACCACACTCATTAACATCAAGATTCAATTTCCAAACCCGGTTTTCGCTTCTCCAGAACTAATCTCCCTTCAAAGAGACGCCATTGATTTTGTTCGTAAGATTCATTGTGTGAATTAACAGAACGGTAACACTAGTCACTAACTAACGTTAGTTGCCGGGAGCTGGCTTCCAATTTACGATCAGAACAAGTCACTATGTAATCGGTAGACGTTTCCTGATCGTACAGAACAGAATTAGTTCAAGGTGACTGAAAGGTTGAAGAGGTTTTTAAATGGTGTGGGTAATGATTTGGCTTTAGATTTAGAAGCGGAACAGGCTTAATGTCGGACTGTGTCTTTTTTTAAACTGTATTTTTATGGTTTTATTAAAGGTTTCTCATCTCAGTCTCGAAACTCCTAACCCACAAGCCAGCGGAGGTGAATTACATTGTGTTGTGTTTGGGATACAGTGTTCATCTAAGACCGAAGTATAAATTACAACACGGATTTGTGTTGTAATTGTGAGCCAGAATTTGAAGCTCTGCTGTAGGATTTTGAATATCGGCAACTTTAGGCATGTTTCCTTACTCCTCACGCATCTACTTACCTGGTAATAAATAGAAACCCGGTTGCTAGTAGATTGGGAGATCGCTTTAAAAAAATCCCTCCAAAAAAAATTGGCCGCTTAATCCACGACAGTTTGTGGGACATTGCTGTGCGCTATTGGCTGCCGCGTTCCACCCACAGAATACGCAGTCACTACACATTACCGTATATCCTGTGAAGCACTTGAGATAAGGATTATATAATATAAGGATTATTACTATTATATCATAATACGTTTGAAGTTAGATTCTGAAAAACATCGTTTTATTTGCGTCTTAATTCCAGTGCTCATTTTTAAACCACAAATTAAGCAGAATTTATTCTAATTTTATTCTAATCACGGGGCGGGGGGGGGGACTCATTTTGTTTATTTTCGGATTTAAGTCAGAAGTAAAACTTTGAAGTTGTGGAGATGGAAAATGTTCAAAGTGAAGCATCCAGTTCAATTCAATCAGAATGTCTCCTTCATCCCAGCCAGGCTGGTAAATTACTTCAGTCATGTAGTGGGAGTCACGCATGGATGAATAGGAATGATTGCTTTTTGCTAGATATGTTTTGAGACATATTTTTGTTAGCAGAAGAATAACACTGCTGCAAATTCTTTCGGGGGCAAATGCACAGATAATCAACTCTGTTACCTTCCAAATGAAAGCTTTCATTCAATAAAAGCAACGTATGTATCACATTTCTAATGATCCTTTGCGTTTAATATTTGTAATAAGCACATGATTATCGTAGGCAGACGATTTTTTACCCGGAGAGTTGTTACGGTCTGGAATGCCCTGCCAGAAGCAGGTTCGATAATAGCTTTCAAAAGGGAATTGGATAGAAAATTTGCATGGTTATGGGGTAAGAGCAGGGAGCGGGACTAGTCCGTAACTCTTTCAAAGAGCCGGTATAGACACGATGGGCGAATGGCCTCATTCTGTGCTGTAAGATTCTTTGATTCTAAGAACACAACATAAGAATTTTCTAGACGAAAGAAGACCAAGAACCATCTAGTTCCCCTTCCACCATCCTGGCAGTCCCTATGACATGTCATGTCCCAAACTATATACTGTACCCACAAGATATTGTTGTCTAACAGAAATCTGTCTAATTTGTTCTTGAAACAAACAACATTTTCTGCTCCCACCGTCTCCCCAGGAAGTCAGATCCATAAATTTGCGACTCACTCACTGAAGTAGCGTTTCCGCAGATCTGTTCCGAATTTGCTCCGTCTTAAATTCTAATTCCATTTGTAACGTAAGTATAAAATGGGGTTTTGCTCCTCCTCAGCAGATGAACGCTGAAATGTAAATATTCAATATTTTTTATTTTAAGATACAAAGTAGCTCAGAGACTGGACCGGGGCTTGAAACTCACAACACCAACACAAATGCCTCCGATTTAAACAGCGTGGCGGGGCTGGGAGCTGAAAAGGAAGAAACCTGGAGGGGTGAACTGCCACCTAGTGGCCGGTAGTTTAATGCCGGTGTTAAACAAGGAACTCCGCAAATGTTACCACCTGTGTTTCATACTCACTATGATCTGCAAAATTAGTCTTTCGTGGAATTGTTGATAAAATGCTGATTTTCAGAGGGGAGGGGGAGGGTCAAGCACTCTGGGACGCTACATTGCATGACTGGTGCTACATAAATGCAAATTGTTGTCACTTTGGGGGCAATGTCTGAAAACAGCTCTCGCAAAATGTTACCCGTTACTGAGGGATCGAAGGGATCAGTGTTCATTTTACGCCACATTTTAAACGTGTTTCTTTGCTGATGAGCAGCTCCTCTGCTCTGAAGGTTTTTCGCTGCTTGCTTCCTCTTCCCCAAACGCTGACTTAATGTTTCCGCTAAATGAGATCGAGGTTTCAAGTTTTACTGCAGAAAACCTAATTAACTTTATTGGAGTCGTAAATTGGTTGTTCGTACAAATTTACAGCGATCCTGTGAACGCCACCTTAATTAATCAGCTCATTGTTGCTCTAATGAGAATGGCTGTGAGCTTCTGTTGGCTGCAACCACACTCTTACCATTCAGTTTGTCATTTTTTTAAAAAAAAAGTGTAATTACATCGCGCCATGGATTGTGTTTAACGATCACCCCCTCTTGATTCCAACCTGTAGCATGGTGGTTAGAGCACTTGCCCCGCAGGTGAGAGGACCCAGGTTTGATTCATTCCTGGGTGGGGTGAAACTTTAGGCAAATTGTCTTCCTCCAGACACACACCCCTGTTTAACCAGCAGTAAGTAGGAACCCAAGTTGTCAGCCGAATGGCTTTCTAATGAGTAATAATCCCTTCCAAAAAAAATCTTTGGTTGATCCACGACTATTTGTGGGACGCTGCTGTGCGTAATTGGCTGCTGCGTTTCGCCCACAAAATATACAGTCACTCCACTTTACAATATATTCTGTGAAGCGCTTTTAGACATCTTGGCTTAACACCTCACTTGAAGATGATTGATTGATTGATTAATTGATTCCTTGCTTGATTGATTGATTGATTGATTGGTAGGTCAGCCACAGCTGGGAAGTCGGGAGAAACTGGAGAGGAAGAGGAGGAGGAGATCTGGGAAGCGGGAGAGGCTGAGGCGAGCACAGAACACAACCTGCCGCCCATTTGTCTGAAACAAGTCTTCCCCAAGTACGCCAAGCAGTTCAGCCACCTGCTGGTGGTGGAGCAAGTGGCCGCCCTCTTCATCAGGTTCCTGGGGATCAAAGGAACCATGAAACTCGGCCCCACGGGTTTCCGTACGTTCATCAGGTCGGTGGGTGTCGAGTTTCCCGGGTAATAATCGCTTCACAAAAATGTCACTTTATTCACGACTGTTTGTGGGGACGCTGCTGCGAGTAATTGGCTGCTGCGTTTCGCCCACAAAATACAGTCACTACACTTCACAGTGTGAAGCGTTTTGAGACGTCTCGATGACGTCATCAGGCGCTGTATCAAATGCAAGGATTATTATTATTATTGTTATCGTGGGAAGAACGAGCTTCGTGCTCCCAAACGCTCCGCATTTTCTTTCGTCTCTTCGTGCCGTGATGCTTCGGGGGAGCGGGTTCTGTGGTCAGTGTTTTGGTCGCGGTACACGATGGCTGCGGAATTTGCCTTAGTGGGGGGTCGGGAGGGGGGAGAGGTGGGGGATAAAAAATAATCACTACAGCAATTTCTGTGAAACCCTTTCCTGAGACCTTTCAAAGGGGACAAGGGTCCGATCCAAGCTCCCCATGTTTTTCAGAGATTGGGGGGGTGGGGGGGAGTGGTGGTGATGATGTCTGATGTGAGGTGTGTGTTTCTCTTACAGGAACTGTAAGCTCTGCAACAGTAACCTAACCATGGCGTCCGCCGACATCTTATACATTGACATCACTCGCAGGTGGAACCTCGTTGGGGGAGACCGAGGGGAAACCGGTAAACCAGATTCCGTGGCTTTTCCTTTTCTCTTTAATGTGAACGAGCGGTTTTATCCGGGAGGATGGGGAGCGGGAACGGGGGGAAATAAATGTTGGCCAAGACACCGGGAGATTCTGACATCAGCGTGTGATCCAACAACCCGGACGTGGCGCCTCTGGCCATTTTGTCACGTCTCAGCCCAGGGTTTAATTTGATACTTTTTTCCAAACTCGCTGTAATTATTTTCTGCCGCAACACGATTTTGTTTTAGATTAAAAAAAAATCCAATCAACCAAATCCGGGAAGAGGCTGGGAATTAATTAACATTCAGAAGAGCAGCCAAAGCACCCGAAGGAAATTTCTCAAAGTACATTCGCTGTCAACAGAATCCGTCAAATGGCAGAAGTTTTGATATAAATATAAATAAATGTAGCGAGGTCTAATCCTCAGCTCATTAATCTTCAGTGTCCTGATGAGTCCGATGAGGAAAGGTAGCTGAGACTGGAATCTCTCTAGCGATCTGAGCTCTGGCAAAAACTGTGCTGAATCCATGTTTTGGTCATTTCACAGCTGGAGTTACTGTGTCCAATATTCTATTGGGGCCCCATTAGATATAGTGCAAATCAAAAGACCTTGCTCATGGATCTGCGTGAGATGTTCAAACTGCCAGGACAGGTAGACGTTTACATATATCAACTCGGCGACAGAAACTTTCACGGACGCGATGAAAGACATCTCCTGTCATAGCTGTGCATTCGCTACCAATGTGAAAATTGGGGGAAAAAAAACCATGATTAATAATTAAAAACTCTGTGAGTAAGGACGTCTGATTCACGCTGCAGAAAGGACATCAGAGCTGCAGAGGGAGTATGGTGGGTTACATAAACCTTCACAACAAGGAAACAAGCCATTAGTCTCAATGAATCCGTGCAGGTGTTTATAATTAAGCCCCCACTTCACCTCTACTCCCTTATTCCCTTCTCCCACTTGAATGCATCAAGTTTCTTCTTAAACGAGCCCATGCTTTCTGCTTCAACCACAGCTTTTGGCAGTGAGTTCATGTTAGTAGGGATAACGACCAAAAATTTGATCACTCAATCCACGACTGTTTGTGGGACACTGCTGTGCGTAATTGCCTGCCGCGCTTTGCCCACAAAATCCACTTCACAGTGTATTCTGCGAAGCGCTCTGAGACATCTCGACATGATAAGGCGCTGTATCAAATGTAAGGATTATTATTATATTATTATAATCATACGTCTGAGGTTAGATTCTGACAAAATCTCTTTATTTGCAAATTAATTCTGTTGCTCATTTCTAAACCACAAAATAAGCAAAAACTGTCCCGTGAAGCGCTCTGAGGCGTTTCAATGACGTGATAAGGCACGATACCAAAATGCAAGAATTATTATTGTGAGAGGATATAGTTCTTCCGTCAAATGGCAGAAGTTTTGATATAAATATAAATATAAATAAATGTAGCAAGGTCTAATCCTCAGATCATTAATCTTCAGTGTCCTGATGAGTCCGATGAGGAAAGGTCGCTGAGACTGGAATCTCATATAAACGCGAGGCTGTATTGCTGGGGCAGGGATATGAGGGGATGAGTGGGGTGAGTGAGCTGATGCTGTGTAGGTGATGGATGCTGTGCTGTTGCAGGTATGTGTTTACAGGCTTTCATGGATGCCTTTCTGTACCTGGCGGAGAGGAAGTACAGGTCGTTGCCGCTGTGTGCTCAGGTACAGGCACTGGTTGACTTTTGCCAGGCTCAGCTGGAAGCCACGGACGAGAAGCGTCTGGGGTCTGTGTGCGGGATCACCGAGCCGGTCACAAGCCACCCTGAGGGAGCGCGCTCAGACCCTGCCATCCGCTCGCCAATCAACCGCGGCACGACCAAAACCGCGCCAGCATCGCCTTTACCTCCAGCGAGGAACAGACAATTTGTAAACGGCCTAAGCTCGCAAGGTATTTTGTAACAATGCACTCGCTGCCTCTCTCTCCCTCTCCCCCTGGATCTATCGCCTTCCCTGTAAGATTTTTTTAACCAAATTCCCGCTGACGGCTGCTCAAAGTGCCCCACCCCAAGCCACTCGCTCTCTTTCCGGATGTGACCGAGCCTTCCGATTAACCGGGATTGGGAACATCTGGAGTAGGTGCTAAAATTCCATAAATTCCCGCCCAAACCGCCCTAAATCTTGAGGTCATGAAAAATTCTGCTGGTTCGTGGCTGACGTTTTCTCTCTCCGCTCTCGATCAGATTTTTTGGGGGCTCGTTTCCTGACCAACCAACACCTGCTGGAGGGGGAGGGAGAGGGGTCGGTGGAGAGGGTGGGTAGGCAGTGGGTAAGCAGACCCTGGCAGTGGCACACTCCCTCATGTTCGGTGTGGTTCGGGCACAGAGCAAATACCAAGTGAGCCTTTTGTCATCTGTCGAACAGATTTAGGACATAAATGCCTTTTTCTCACGTACTTTCGGTACAGACAGATTCCCAGATTGAAAAATGGATCAATCGCAGCAGGAAGAGTGGGCCATTTGTCATTTGATTGGTGACGTGTCAGATGAAAACTGTTCACACACACACACACACCCTCCCTCGTAGGAGACTTATTCCTGCTCCATGTATTACACTGCCTCTCAACCCCCTGCCACTGCTCCCGCACAGACACACACACCCTCTTCACAATGACAAGCTCAGGGTTTGAGAGGGTCACCTTTTCGCCAGGCATTTGATTTACAGCCTGTGTCTGACACAGAGCGACCCTGATCCCCTGTCAATTTCTCACAGACTGTAGGGGGGGAGGGTGAACAGTCTGCACTGAATGATTAGTTCATTTCACTGGTGTGGCAATGTACAATGTCACTGTACACTTCACTCTCTTATTTCACTGAATGTGTGTGTGGGGCAGGGGCCGGGGTTGTATATGGATGTATGTCTGTGTGTGTGTGTGTGTTTGTGAAGTAGAGTGTGTGTGTACGGGGATGTGTGTGTGTGTGTGGATTGTATATGAATGTGAGTGTGTGAGGTTGGAGGGTGGGTGTGTGTATATATAGCACTCAAGACTGTAACCCATTCCCCTGGTCTGCTGGTGTAGTTCTGTAAACAGCAGGATTTATAGCAAAGGCACAATCTGAACACTTGTCTGTTGGGAAAGGTAATGCGGGAGTGGGAAGTGAGTGGGAACAGGTGGAATTCTCCCGCTAGAAGGAAACAGGAGACCATTACCGATGGTAAAGAGGAGGAACTCTGCCATTTGTTTGACCTGCACATATTCCTGTCACTTCTTTATCCAAATGCTAAGCTGAAAATGGAAAGGAGGGAGAGATGGAGAATGCTTTGTGTGAGGATTCCCGAGTCCTGCACTCACTGGTCAGAATTAAAGTCATTTTATACATGAAAATAAATATGAATGATTTTTAATAAAGTAAAATGTGCCCTTCTGCTAATAAAAAATCAGGTCCAATATAATTTTAAGTCAATATAATAATCAGTATTTTGGGACCGGAAAATGCTATTTAATATGGACGAGGTGGTTCACCACAGCCCCCGGGCACACAACAGCCAATATCTATCTTATCGCTTCCCAAATGGTGCTTCACCCGAAATGATAGTTCCCTGGTGCAGTAGCTGGTTCCTGCGTCAATTGCAGAGTTCCCAATCTCAGTCGGTGGGAGTGCCGATGAGAGGACGGACGCTGAGCGCTGGAGAGGTTATCGTTTCGGTAAACAGTGGGACTCAAACAACAGGCCGAAAGCCAGCAACCTGAAGCTAAAGCTGGTTTTACTACCTTGATACAAAATAAATCTTACTTACGTTCATTAACAGAGGCACTGGCGTCATTTCCAACACCCTCCGAGGTCTTGATTTGTTTGTATATTTTCCGGTCGCTTATCACTGACGTAACCCCAATAAATATTTGATGGATGCACCCGATCCGGAAGCCTGTGAAATAGTAAACAAGTTTTTAAACCGCTTGAAAGCCCACTACGACTCCAGGGAAATCAGTTTCGTAAAAAAAAAATCCCGAAGCGTAAAGCGAGCCGTACGGACAGTGTGGGAATCAGAGAACACATAAACTTCTGTGCTCTGAAGCTGAACTTTGCTGCAGGGGCTAATCTAACCGCGAGTGCACGAGACTATACGTGTTGTCACCTCCCAGCAAGAGCTCTCCATTTCCAAAGAGCATTTTCTTAACATTTTATTTCAGACTGACGCACCTGAAATACAATTGACTTGTGTATCGTATCCTGTGAAGCGCTTTGAGATGTCTCAACGACATGATCAGGCGAAATATCAAATGTAATGATTATTATTGTTGACTTATCCCTCCATAAATACACACATACACACCCCTCGTACACATAAACATTCACATACGGAACACACACACACACACTCACATAAACACGGATGCTCGCCATTCAGCCGCTTGAGACTGTTCTGCATTCAATGAGATTATGGCTGATCAACTCCAATCACGTGGTGTGGTATGGAAATGGCTCCTGTGGGAGCTGAATGACCACGGCTGGGCACTGCACTGGCCTTTTCTCTATTCAGTGTTGCGTTTCATAAGCCAAAGGGAAGTTACCTGAGTCTCTGGTGGTCCTTTCTGAGAACTCTCAGAAAGCCGTCTCTCTTCCAGCTCCTGTATCGCCTAAATGCTGACAGCAGACGGCTAATAAATTGTGCCTTTTACACAGTTTCCTCTCCTTATGCAACATTTCAAGGTCCACCTCTTTCGCAAATTTTTTTTTAATAACTATTGAGAATAAAATGAGCAAACGACTGCAGGAGCGATGTCATTGATTGTTCCCGAGCGAGCAAGCGAGCGAGAGGAAATCGGTTTTGCCGGAATTCTTCCTGCACCGGAGCTCCAGTCATTGCAGATGCAACGTAGCCGGGAGCAAATCGGAGCCACGCTGCTCTGCGAGGGTTCTGCGTCCCTCCTGTTTTGCTCGAGGCAACGGGCACGAGCCGAGCATTGTTGCTGCATTGTGTCCTGGCCTCGCCGCCATTCATCATCGACGCGAGAGATATCACTCTGGTGTCACATTTCGACCTCTCACAGCCAAAGCCTCAGTGCAAAAACAATGGGAGTTTTCTCAGTAACCCGGACACTTCACGCCCACCCACCCACCCCCTCACCTCTCCGACCCGCTTTCTCCCCACTCCACCACCCGCTGCCTCGGCTCGGCTGCCTCTGGCCTCCTTTTCATCTGTCGCCCCCTCCAACATCGGCGGCCGTGCTTTCAATCACTTCGCCCCAACGTTTTGGAACTCTCCCTCAATCCCTCCACCTCGGCCTCTTTCCCCTTTTTGGATCACGACTTCCTTTTCGACCGCACTTACAGTCACCCACCTCCCCCCCCGGGGTTTGGCGTCAGGCTCCGCCACTGTTAAGCGCTTTGAGACCCTGCCCTGTGTAAAGGGCTATATAAATGCAAGTTGCTGCTGCTGTTAGATCTAAGCGCGAGTTGGTCACACTTGCTGTGGTTAGCAAAAAGCAGGAGCAGCCAATGCGATGCGGTCTGCTTCACCGCCTTATTGGATTCTGCTATCACCAGCAGCGACTTGTAATTACTCCCGTCGTAGTCTTCAAAACGCAAAACTTTTGAGACAATTTGGGGCTTTAACGGGATATTATGCAAAATTATTAGTTCGAAATTACCGAAGCTCAGCAAAACCCAGTCAGAATTAATAACCCACGGTTGCTTTCTTTGCTAAAAGAATGCCACAAGGCGATACATTGCTGCCTGTATTAATATTAATTATTACGGGGGGGGGGGAAGTTATATTACCCAAACTGTGTCTGAAAGAAGCATGAAATTTAGATGTAGTTATTTCTCAGTCATTTGCAGTGTTTGACTGTGGCCTTCAGAGAGTTAGAGGCAGAGATTCTTGCTTCCTCCTGTGTAGCACACACACACATACAAGGTCGCCCTCTCCAACAAGGCTAATCAAACCTCCAGGATTAATACGAATTTCAGAGGAACAGATTAATATTGCTCCCCGTCGTGTGTGCACGTCAGCGGAATAAATTGCCCAAATGAAACAGCACGAACAGCGGTGAGATTTTTTTTAAAATTAATTTTAAGAACAGAACCCTAATTGATCAATCGAATGATTGATGGACAAATTGGTAAGTTAAATTATTGATAATGGACTGCCTCAGGATATCAGGAGTATTGATCCTGAACTCCAGTCACGTCGCTATTCAGGATAATATGCGTCTGATGAAGCCTTAAAAGCCATAATATTCTCAGGTTTAAGAAGAATTCCTACCAAATTCTTAACTACACTAATAATTTTTATAATCCTTGCATTTGATCCGAGAGGATAGCTCAAAGCGCTTCACACGATTTACTGTAAGGGGTGTAGTGACTGTATTTTGTAGGTGGCAATCATACCCGCCAAAATAAGTTATTTAAAAAACAGCATAAACAAATTATGTTTAATAGCGCCTTTCACGTCGGGAGGACGTCCCAAGGCGCTGGACTCTGAAGTGAATTAGACCACGGGATTGGGATGAGATGGCTTTCAATGTACAATCAACTCGATATTAATCCTGATCCACGCTTCTGCATGAAAAGGGCTACTCACAAGGGTCAAGAGTTAAGGGTTCGGGGCTGGAAGTATCTGGTGACTGAGTTATGTTATCCGGGTTCAGGAATTCCTAGTCACTTGCGCTGGAGGGATACTTGCACACCTGCCAAGTTATACAGCTCATATACAGATACACACATCGATAACTGACCGCTATCATGGGCACAACCAAAAACAACATCTTGTACTTATATACAAGATTGCATTTATAGAGCGCCTTTCATGTCAGGATGACGTCCCAAGGCACTGGACAGTTGGGTCGGGACCCGAGCATTGGGGGGAAATGGTCAGGGTGAGGGGAGGGAGCGAGGAGGGGGTAAGAGAGTCGAGAGGGGAGCTGAAGGCTCGGTTGAAGAGAAAGGTTTTGAGACCGGCCTTGAAGGAGGAAAGGGAGGAAGCGGCAAAGGCACTGGGGATAGAGTTCCAGAGCCTTAGGGGCTGAGAGGCTGAAGGCCCGACCACCGATGGTAGGGCGGTTGGGGCGGGGGATGTGGAGCAGACCGGAGCCAGAGGAACGGAGGGTACGGGCAGGTACGTGGGGGGATAGTAGGTTGGAGAGATAGGAGGGAGCAAGGCCGTGAATGGCCTTGTAGGTGAGGATGAGGATCTTGAATTTGAATATATAGCACCTGCCACGCGGGGCAGCGTCTCGGAGAACTTACCAAGCAACCACAAACACTATCAACCGTGACTCCACAAAATAAACAGTCACTACACCTTATACTGTATCCTGTGACGCACTTTTGATTCCCTAACCCCACAATGGGAAAGACGCTCTATCAAGTGCAAGGATGATGATGATGATGATGATGACCACAAGTCACCATAATCGCTTCCTTTTCTTTTCCCCAAACCTTTTGTTGGATTGTTTAGGTCTTTTCCTCCCGTAAGCAAACAATAACTTGCATTTACACAGTGCCCCTCACGCAGGGTAGGGTCCCAGAGCGCTTGATAGAGATGGAGCACAAAGCTGAGATGGGGGAGGTGACCATAGGCACAGTCAGAGAGGAAGCTCTTCAGGCACGATCTGAAGATGAGGAAGGAAAGGGCAAGAACTCCAGGTTCTTTGTCAGTGATAGTCCCATCAGCTGAGTGTCGATAAATAAAAAAAACAACACACAGATTGCCAGCAAAGCTGAGCGCAGACGGGACAGAGTTAAAAGCATTTCACTGGCTGGGGAAAGTTGGAAGATCTCAATTCACAGATGTTCCACATCTCTCAAGTCAGAGGAATGTAAGCTGCCAATGCTCAGCTGCGCTCAGAAGTGGACCATCATTTCCGAAACAGTCGTCAGGCAGATGTTATGTGAGAAACCAGTGACTTTTCCCAAAACGTGGGCAGTCAGATGCGGCAGGAAGCTAACAGAGGAATTCTCATTTACAAATGCCTTTTGTTTTGTTTAAATAAAACCATATTCCAGTATTGTTAATGTTCTTGTTCTTGCCCGTTGCTTCAGATTTTGGGCATTTCATTCCAACAGCCAGTGAGTGCGACTGACAAAGACAGCTTAAATACGATAATAGTCCTTGCATTTGATACAGCGCCTTATCACGTCTTCAAGATGTCTCAAAGCGCTTCACGGGATATACTGTAAAGTGAATTGACTGTATATTCTGTGGGAGAAACACGGCAGCCAATTGTGCAAAGCAATGTCCCACAGTCGTGGATTCACTAAACACTTTGTGGGTGATACAGTGCGTTATCACGTTGTTGAGACGTCTCAAAGCGTTTCACAGAATATACTGTTGAGTGAATTGACTGTATATTGTGTGGGTGAAATGGGACGGTACTCCCAGGACACGATAAACTAGGAGTGCTTCACCATTCACTGTCCGAGAGTGTCGAATGGTCAAAAGCCAATGCACCGATATATCATTAGAATCCCCAAAATAATCCAAAGCAAAATCCAGCGGATGTGAGTCAGTGTAACGAGCTCCTGATGTTGAGCAGCCGGTAGGAATTCAGTAACAAGGCCAAGAAAGCTGCACTGGAGTGCTGGCTGCCTGAGCCCAGCCAAGGTAATACCCAGGAGAGGTTCAAACCTGGGACGTTGGCAATGTGTGTGCGGAAATTTTCCAAGTGGAAATAGCAGGAGTTTATAGGCTCATTCGCGAGACAGAACATGATCTTCGGTTGCCCCACGTGTTACTATCTGTAGCCTGAGGATTGCAGCAGTGCAATGTTGTAGTTCAGACACACAGCAATCAATCGAACAGACAACTTTGAACTGACCTTTACAGAGTGTCCGGGAAGTCCACCATCAATCGTCCTCCACCTTGAACTTTGGGTGTGTTTGTGAATGTGTGTGAGTGCATGCGCACGTGTGTGTGTGTGCGTGTGTGTACGCACGTGAGTGCCGCTGTACTTACATCACTCATGTTTTTGCTGAGTCTCTGTATGTAGTGTTTGTAAAAGACAATTCTGCAATTGGACACTGCTACCAGAGCTCTCCAAATCACCATTTTCTTGACAGAAGTCTTCAATAAGAGAATCTTGAATCACACGAAGGGGCGACTTGATACGGTGATTGGAGCACAGAATGGACTTGTCGCACCTTTCGCAAATGGGGTGCATTTTGGAGAGGCTCTGGTGCAAATTCTACGGTGTCAAAGTGCAAAACCGCAACAAGAAAATGGGAAAAATCGGTTAAAATAGCTAAATAAAACTTTAATAGTCTAGTTGCAAATGTACATAAATTGCACAGCCACGTATTTTTAACACAACCAACTGCTCTGTACATTATTACACGTTTTAAGTACAGCTGAAGTGCGTCCAGCAAATACTTTAAAACTTTAAACTTACTTACAAAAGTGTAAGGTATATAAAACGTACAACACTTTCCCAGGTGTGAGCATCCATGGGCACCAGTTAATCTGCAGGTGTCCGAGCTTCCAACAGTACGGAGGACAAGACAGAGAGAGTGACATCGAGTTCATTTGAGTTCTGATTTGTTGGGAAGCCAATAAATGTAAAATGAAGAGTGTAACCAGCGCACCACGTGACGCTGCCTGTAACTGTCGCCTGTGTGACCACATGCCTGTAACCTGCGCGACACACGCCTGTAATCTTTGTGACACATGCCTGTAACGGGTGCGTTGCACGACACATGCCTGTAGCCGGCGCGATGCATGCCGGAACTGCTGAGGTTTTGAACAAGTTTCTTGCACAAGTTGAGAGCAACGCCTGATGTGGAAACTTGCAACTTGTTAAGTGTTTGATTGCCCACAAAAAGGGCCCAAAAGAGTAACAATGGGTTGATTTATGCTCCTCTCCCACCCAGAGTGTAACCCATAACATCAAACCTGAGTCGGGATGTATTTGCAAAGCTGGTGAACAATTTCAAATGGAATTGTTCATTTTTTTGGAGGGGGGGTGGGGTTTACAATTCATGGACTGCAAGCTAAATACCCTCGCTGCAAACTCATGAGTCCTGGGTACTGGATTGTAAATGCCACAGTTTTTGGCAGACCCCAGGGCGGGGGTGGGTGGGTGGTGGTGGGGGGTCAACACAGTGCCACCCTCTGCATGAAGAGAAACTATGGCACTGTTATAAAGAACGCTAGGAATGTGTCTGTTGCCACACTGGTCACGATGCCAAGAATAATCGCTCTGAGCGATTTATCACAGACGCTCAGGCCTTCAAAAAGAATGAGACCTCAACCTGTAAATCAGTCTATTATTCTGAAGCGAGAGTTACAGTATAAATTGTTCTTTTGAACTTTGGTGAAAAGATTGGCTAAATGACCTGCTTTACTCCAGGTTCGGTACAGTATTTCTAAAAGTACCCAGTAAAAGGGTAAACTAAGAAAAATTACATGTTCTGTGTGTTGTTTTCGTTTATACAGAAAAAATATATTTACATTTTAGGATCTTCAGTGTTTTTCAAACTTTTTTNATATATAGATGTGTATATATAAAAAAATCATTTAACGACACGCAGAATAAACCCAATTTTCCCCCAATCGATAAACACAGCAACTCGCGGAACCATTCGAACACCACACTGCATGCACTTCAAAGAAAATCCATATTCCAGACAGATTATAGAATCGTTTTACACCGCATTCGGCAAGAAACAAAGCCACAGAATAAGAGGAGAATAAGGCCTCTGTAAGGCAGACTGTATGTATAAACACAGTATAAAACTGTGTGGTGTTTTGTTGGCGATGTGAAGGTTCCTTCTCTTTTGTTTAATAGAAGAACCACTCCCAGCGTTGACAGAGAGTGCCGACAGTGCAGCCTGGTTGCAATCCCATGGCAATACACAAATCAGCTCACAAACCCAACCCTCCTCTTCCTGTGAACCCACAGTCTGATGGCTTTTTAATCCCCGTCACTGGTAAACAGTGATACTTCCCTACATTGGTGTAACGAATATGATGCAACTTAAGATGCTGCAACTCTGAAAAGTCAATAGTTATATAACAAATGGTCTTTAGGACTACAGAACCACGATTTGCAATCACACAGTGATTTTGTTTGTTTGTATAAGTGGGTGGGTTTTGCCACCCCGGGCAGTTTTTTTTAATATATATATATATATATTCCCTCCACACATTTTTACACAACATAAAAGATGCAGCCACTCTGCAGAGACTTTGAGGCAAGCAGTACCAGAAACAGATGTTAACTATATACAGGTTATGTCGGATTAAATAGAGTAGAATTTAACACGGAACAGATGCAAAAGAATTGGCTGGCGTGGGTAACAATATTGGGACGATAGTAGATATGGTATTTTTCTCTCTCACTTTTTGTAAAGATCTCTGAAAAATGTACATAGTTATATGTACAGCACTATGGCTTTAGTGCTGTATTGTTAAAACTCTGACTTCACTTTTTTTTTGTGTCCTAAAAGGCTTCCAGCTGCTATTGTGTTTCCACAGAAGCATCTAACGCAGGAGAAAGAAGGTGCGAAGGAACCATCAATCATGGTAAAAAGAACATTAAAAACACAATGTCCACAAGGGATATGCCCTGGCGCTGTGCAGCCAGGATCACAGCAACCAAGATAAATACATTTCAAAAATACATTGAAAAGTATGTACTCCATACTTGTAGTGAGCACGAGAATGTCCACTTAAGTCACCTCACGGCTCGCTCCTTCCACTCACTCCGTTGAAAACTTCAATGAGGTTAACAGGATCCTTTAAGTGAACATTGGCTCTTCTGTGCTCTACCCTGTTGAAAATTACAGCCTTCCCTTTGCTGCGGTCGCCTCTATTGCATTTGTGTAGCGGCTCTGAGCACTCGAGCCAGGAGTTTCTCTGTAAAACGGGAGTTAACTCGACTCGGCTGGGGGAGTGGAGCAGTGGGTAAGAAAGACCCATTTCAGGCTCTCGTCAACCAACGAGCAGCATTTTCCTTCGACGAGATTCAGAGAGTTGAGTTCCTGACGGACAAGTCGTCGGGCAGTGACAAAAGTGCAACTGGAGAGACTGAGGTGAAGAGCAGCCAAAACCAACGACAAAAACAAAACACCTCTCCTTCCCTCGCTCTCTCTCTCTCTCTCACTCGTCCAGCACATAAACGCAGCACCTGTCTGGGAAGTCGAGATCTGAAAACTGTCATCACTTGGTGCGATAGTGGAATAAACACGAGTCACTTGTAGGAAACAGGCCCAGCATTAGATCTGAAAGTGGATTTGACTGAATGAATGTAGGAAAGTACAAAGTTGACCAGAGTGAACCCTCACTTCTCACCGAGAGACATTTGCCCAGGAGCTCTCACAGTACAGTGCATCAGCCTCCAGCGAGAGACACCACTATCACTACTCTGGAGAGATCCAGGAGTGATCAGGCACCGTCTCCGGAGTGATCCGGGACTGATCAATCTGCGCCACTACGTGGGAGTCACCAGATCCCAGTTTGAGTGGTCAACTTAAATGAGCAAAGGTCCCTGCTCTGCTCTCTCCAGTGTCAGGTTCACTCTGCAGTCAGCATCGTCACGGGAATCTTACCCGACTCCTGATCACATATTGAACCAAAGCCCCATTAAAGGCTGACAACTGCCGGAGGGAGGGGGGGGTGGGGGGGGGGGGTCATTAGCCTGCTGTTTGGTGACCACTTGTCCACATGAACTTTTACAAAAATACACCTGTTGATGACAAGGTCGTTGGCTGAGGATGTCTCGGTTGCTCCTGGTGCTGCCTATTCTGTGCTGTGCTGTAGTGTGCTGTGCCGTACTGTGCCGTGCCGCGCATGGCGCTCTGTGCTGTGCTCTCTGCGGCGCCTGCCTCACCCTGCTGGTCTCTCTGCACTAGCAGTTGCTGCTGTTCCTGAACTCGCCGTTCTCGGTGATCTGCAGTTTGGTGGGGTTGGTGGGCGAGATGCCGTTGCGGCTCTGCATGCTGTACCTCTCCTTCAGCTGTGTCAGGGCGCTCATCAGCCGTGCATTCGCAGCGTCCAGCGAGGAGATGCGCTTCTCCTGTTGGGAACAACATCCTGAATGGTTCGGGGGCCACAGATATATCCCATCAACAATAATAATCCTTGCATTCGATAAAGCAGCTTATCACGACTTCGAGACGTCTCAAAACGCTTCACAGGATATGCTGTAAAGTGAATTGACTGTAATATTTTGTGGACGAAACGCGGCAGCTAATTGCGCACAGCAGCGTCCCCACAAACAGTCGTGGATTGGGTGACCAAATTATTTATTTATTTATTTTGAAGGGATTATTACCCCCGGAAAAACGAACTGCCAATCGAGGCGTAAGGAAAGTTGCCCAACATTTCGCCCTGACCGGGAATCAAACCCAGGTGCTCTTGCTTGCAAGGCGAGTGCTCTAACCCCTGTGCTACAGGGCTCCACAAATATATCCCAGGAGCTCAGGTTTTAAGATTAATGGAATTCTTAAATCTTAAATACACGTGGGACTTCAACTTGTTCATTCAGTGTGTGGCAGCTAATTGTGCACAAGAGGGAGATCATTTCAAAATCCATTAACTGAAACAATAATCAGGCTGTATTTTACTAACCCGCAGATATAACTCATCAACTCACTCTGGTTTGAGGGATCCAGAACAATGGGACGGAGTCTTAAATTTAGAGATCAGAAAACATTTGCTCGCCAGAGAGATGGCGGTGGAATGTGGAGCACACTGCTCGAGAAGGCCAAAGACGCAGGATTAATTGGGGTGTTTAAAAGTTAAATTCGGGAACTCAAGATATTAAGGGTTGTGTGGAAAAGGTGGGGGAATAAGATTAAAAGATAGGATTACATATTTGCCGTGATTCAAGAAACAGGCAGAAAAGGCTCGATGGTGTGAATGGCCTTCTGTTCCTACGCCTCAAGGTTTGGTGTGTGTATGCGAGTGTGAGGAGGAGTGAGGGCTTCTTCATTGTAAACAAATGCCACGGTGTACAGAGTGAAACAGAGTGTCGCTGACCTGGGCTTCAATGATCTTCTGCTTGGAGTCCACGGCTGCCTGCATCTCAGCGTGATCTTTCTTCAATTCGTCCTCAACAGCCATTAATCTAGAAGGAGAAAAGTGACAGCTTCAGCTCACGCATGTTGCTCATGTAACAGAGTCTGAAACCCAGCCAACCCTGGGGAGAACACACTGCTGAGCTACAGGTCACTGGAGCGTCTGCCTGGAATACGAGTTCAAGTTCTAGCGTGGGGTGGAACTTTCTGACCCAGGAGCTACTGTGCCTCTGAAACTCTCTGCCTCTACCCATTTCACCCCCCCACCTCCTATCTGTCTTTAAGTCCAGGCTTAGCAACCCTTGGAGAGAGGAAAATTAGTTAATGTTTCAGGTCAATGACCTTTCATCAGAACAGTTCTGACGAAAGGTCATCGACTTGAAACGTTAACTCATTTCCCTCGCTCCATAGATGCTGCCTGACTACTGCGTGTTCCCAGCGACTTCTGTTTTTATTTCAATTTCCAGCCTCTTCAACCGTGCCTACGGTCAGTTGCCCCCTCCCTTGCTCAGCCACCTTTGTGGAGGGCCCCGAGATGTTATCGTACGTGAAGTGTGCTCTGTAAATGCATGTTGTTAACAAGGTCTCCGGCTCACCTCTGCTCTGTATTTACAGTAGCCCATCGGGTTGACTGCTTACCTGCTGATGATGCCCTTCATCTGCATGTCCTTGTCCTCCTGCTGTCTGCGGAGACGTTCCTCACCCTCCTCCAGCCGCGCCTGGTACTCCAGCATCATCTTTTGGGCCTGCTCCTCCTGGTTCTTCAGGTGGATCTCATACTCCTCCAGCTTCCTGTTGGAGGCTCTCAGCTTGTCCTGGAGCATCACGATCTCCTGCTGGTACTGGCGACCGAGCGACAGAAACAGACTTAACATAGAAAGCACATGGCGCCCACCACATATACAGTCAACTCAGTTTACAGTCAAGTCCTGTAGCTCAGTGGTTAGAGCACCCCCGCAAGCGAGAGGACCTGGGTTCCATTCCCGGGCAGGGCGAAATGTTGGGCAAGTTTCCTTACTCCACACGCCTGTGTTTACCCAGCAGTAAGTAGGAACCTGGTTGTTAGGCGATTGGGAGATTGCTTTTCCGGGGTTAATAATCCCTTCAACATAAATAAATAGAATAATAATTTGGTCACTCAATCCACGTTTGTTTGTGGGACGCTGCTGAGCACGATTGGCTGCCGCCTTTCGCCCACAAAATATACAGTCACTACACTTTACAGTATATTCTGTGAAGCACTTTGAGACACAGTGATAAGGTGCTTTATCAAATGCAAGGATTATTATTATTATGATTAATACATTTCTAAATCAGACCATTGCCCACAAAATACAATTTGGCCGGTGGAAACTGGATGCACATTGACTAAGAACACAATCCAGGGTGAGCTTCTTACGAGTCAATGAGAATTGTTATGAGATCCTTAAGATCGTTAAGAAATACTGCAAATTAGACCCCCGTATGTTTAATTTACTCTTTCTTCATTCGCCATTCACTGAGCACAGCGGTGTGCAGCTCAGCGCCTACTGTGGCGCGGTGGCCATTACACACACAGCAAACAACTGAAGCAGCTTCCTTCCCAGAGAGCAGTAGTTAATATCAAATTCTATTCTATTAAATATTGATGGGTTGCGGCCTGTGGAATATGGGCGTGAGCTTCATTTGCAATGTGGAGAATTAGTTCCTCATCAAATCCTTAAGCCCAGAATCAAAGGATGAAAAAGACTAATATTTATTAATACTGAATTGACTTTACTCCCTACGCATGCACAGGGGAGGCTGGAATCTGCAATTCTCTGCCACAAACTGTTGCTGAGGCTCACATCATGGATTTTTCCACAAGGGAATGTTTTGATTTTTGTTAATTCCCGGGCGGGCGGTACAAAACCTTAGGCAAATTGCTTACTCCACAAGCCTCTGTTTCACCTTCCTAGCAGTAAGTAGGAAACCTGGTTGTTAGTTAATTGCCAGATCGCTTTCCGGAGGTAATAATTCATCAAGAAAAAATGTGGTCATTCAATTCACGAGTGTTTGTAGGACACTGCTGTGTGCAATTGGCTGCTACGTTTCGATCCACAAAATACACAATCAATCCACTTTTCAATATAATAATAATCCTTGCATTTGATATAGCGCTTTTCACGTCTTCGAGATGTCTCAAAGCGCTTCACAGAATATGCTGTAAAGTGAATTGACTGTATATTTGTGGACGAAACCATTTATTATTCTATTATATATTTTATATTATATAGATTATATATGCTATTATATATGATATATTCTGTGAAGCGCTTTGAGACGTCTCAACATGACAAGGGGCGATATCAAATGCAAGGATTATTATTAAATTAGATCCCGATGCAGGAGGTGAAGGGCAATTGTAGGACACACCAGGAAATACTTCTTTACACAGAAGGTAAAATCAACAGCTAGGCAGAGTAACAGGAACGGGAGTTGAAGATGGAACGCTGGATGTATTTAAGAAACAGCTTGATGCTGTGATGGCAAAATGCTAATGGGGGAATTTGGAAGGTCGGAAGCCAATAGACTGAAAACCCGCCTTAATCAGAGCCTCTGGTGATTGTAATGGGGCGCGATACAGGATTACTAATCCTGCAAGGAACAGCAATTCTGGGTTAGATGCTTTCATTGGTCACACTCCAAGCTCTTCATTACACTTATATTACAATGAGCTTCCAGTTCCTGCTAAAGTAAATGGCTTGATTTTGACTTGCTTTGGGGATAACTTCAGCTGACTGTATCAAGCAGGTTTAATGACCCTGCAGGATGGCTCTCTCAGTGTTAATAATGGCTATAGTAATGATTACAAAATGCATCAGTTCCCCCTCTGGGCAAACAGACTGTGCTTTAATTATGGTCACTGCTCAAAAACAAGCTGGTGGGTGCAAACGGATTTAGTTCCTCAATCTGCCACTTGATCAGATGTCGCTGATGCAAGCTTTTTTTCACAAAATATTTAGCTTATGATGAGTAAAATTAAATTTCTGAAGGAGAGGCAAAAATACTCATCAGAGAATTCTTTCACATCTTTTTTTCTCTCTCTCCAAAAACGAAAAAACTGCAGTTTCAATTTGGGAGGAATCTCTTATGTGCGAGATGTTGCAGCCTGTCTTTGAGACCACAGAATGGAAACAGTTTACAGCATAGACAACAGGCTACTCAACCCATTGAGTCTGCACTGAATCATATGCTAATGTAATCCCACTCTCCCTGTAACCTTCAATATTCCTCCTCTTAAGCATCTACCTAATAGCCTTTCAAAAGAATTTATGGTGTGTACTTCGGAAAAGGGCTGAAGGGTATTTCTGGGCTAATGTTTTTCTCTCCCTCTTGTACACACACTGCCTGATTATTTTCGATCTGAACCCTGAAACGTTCCACGTGTTGAACACTGCAGGCTTGTCTGTGGTTGGATATTGAGCACTGAGCGGTTGGTGAGAGATAGTTCATGCAATGTCACCTACATCCCCGGTGGGTTTCTAAACCAACAGCAACGGTCTTGAGACAATAAACATCACTGAAGCAATTTCATTCCACACAGGACAGTCAAACCCCATCATAACAAATTCTTGGTGATTGTGAACTTCATTCGAAGAGACTGACTTTCTCGAATAATAATAATCCTTGCATTTGATATAGCATCTTATCATGTCTTCGAGATGTCTCAAAGCGCTTCACAGAATACACTGTAAAGTGAATTGACTGTGTATTTGGTGGGCGAAACACAGTAGCCAACTGCTCACAGTAGTGTCCCACAAACAGTCATGGATTGAGTGATCAAATTATTATTAATTTTTGACCAATGACTCAAGGTGATGGCAGTAGAATTTGAGGAACAAGCTATTGAACAGATAAGAGGTTCTGATAATCCATGGTACTTCAATGCTTGATGTACTGTGGGAACATTCCTGATTACAAAGTCTGCTTCATGCTGGGACTGGAAGCCATGTGATTAGTTTATCAAGCTATGTCCACAATGTGATCTCTATGTTAACTGTGTATAGGGAACAAACTTACTCACATGCCATTTGCTAACGGCAGATTAGCTGCCACATTTGCCAAAATTAAGTACTGTAACCCACTGTATGCCTGAACTCTAATATTTGGGTGATTGGATTGAGTGTAACAGCTTCACGAGGACATGTCAGATTGTTAGTTTGAATTTTCACCATCAGTACCTGGGTAGACACAAACAAGCTGGTAAGAATGCAATCGTTGCCAAGTCCTAATAAATCTTTGTAAAAGGGTGTTTTGTGGCAAAATGGCCACAAATACAGTCAATCCACTTTGCAGTAAATTTATGAAGCGATTTGAGACGTCTCAATGACGTGATAGGGTGCTATATTAAAAGCAAGGATTATTTTTATTATTATTAAAATTCAATCCACCCATTCAGGACAAATCATAATCAGACCACACTCAAGAGTGGGAAAATCACATTCAACACCAGATCAAAATAACTTCTCTTTGAACTCTGGAGGTGAATATTTGCTGGCTGCTCAAAGATAGGACCTAATTAAATGTCACATTCTGCAATCTAAGATAATCATTTTTGGGGGATATTAACAGTAGGATTTCACTTCAGTCCCCTACCTGCAACCAAATTGCGTAAAAATAATTCCACTAATTAAGAGAGTGGGCGGCTTGCAATTTCGGTGGCTCCTGTGCAAAACTAGTCATTTTCTGTCTGTGGAATTTTTCCAATGTTCAGGTTAAAAAAAAAACAAGCTTGGTTAGTGCCACACTGAGCAGATAGATAGATGGTGGTTAACACAGCTGTCATCAGTACAGAACTCCTCACGAATAAACTCAGTCAACTTTGTCACATGGTGAAAGGATCAAGTGACTTGCCCAGTGTGAGCGTGTCCTGTGATACTGCGTCCTTTCCAAATGTCAGCCCAGGATTTACCAGTGAAGATCAGGCGCCTGAAATCCCTCACACCCTCAGTCTCAAGCCCTGTTTTGCCTTAAAATGAAAGCCAGGTATTTTGAAATCACCATAAGCACAGCAAGAGGTGAATTTATGACAAAATACAGTAATTTACTTCACAGTATATTCTGTGACGCGCTTTGAGACATCTTAAAAATGTGATAATACCCTATATCAAATGCAAGAATTATTATTATTATTGTTGTAACATTCGGCGGAATCCTAAGTTTTTTGGCACAATGTTAAGACTAACAGCTTGAAAAATTTCACAGCTCAGGTGTGGTCTGCGTACTGTGCTCACTACCCACTACTAGTCACTCAATCCACGACTGTTTGTGGGATGCTGCTGTGCGCAATTGGCTGCTGCATTTCGCCCACAAAATATACAGTCACTACACTTTACAGTATATCCAGTGAAACGCTTTGAGACGTCTCCGAGACGTGATAAGGCGCTGTATCAAATGCCGGAATTATTATCGTTACTATTATCCTAGTCACAGTGCGGTCGCTAAAGTGCGATGCTGGTGCAGGGTTGAGTGATCCTCCCGGTATATCATACACTGGGCCTCAGTGAGCGACCTGAACCTCATTTCTCAACCAGTAAATTGGAAAAGAAAAGGTACACCAATTTTCATTTCCCACATCATTTGTAAAGTACAATTAACTCAGTTACCTCCACTTTACATTAAATTGCTTCTGGTTATGTGTGCTTGCTGTCGACACGAGCTAAGTGTAGAGTTGGTCTATCTATGAATGTTTCAGTGGCTTTGCTGGAGCACAGATCTCACGCAGCAGCCAGCAGACATGCCAGCCACACGAGCTTCAGAGAGATGAGAGCCGCAGGCAACATCAGAGGGACACCATCACCATGGAAACAAGCCGGCTCATTTCACGGATCGGGTAAATACCCGACACAACCGGCTGGTAAGATATCAGCCAGCTAACAAGCAAACTCGCCCAATTTCATTCAGAACTGTGGGCAGCAATGATCATTAAGCTCCGCGTGCCTTGACCCTGGAACATCTTTGTGAATCCCACTACATAATAAAGCTTATGGGGAAGTATAAAGGTGCAGGCGGGCTGGGTCCAGTGATGGATCGGTTAGTAAAGCCACGGTCTGAAGTCAAACCAAGCCTTGTGTACCACAAAGATTCTAGAGATTCAAACAGGTGCTGAGGGCCCAGGAATTGGCCTCAGCAATAGGCCAGGTTCCCGCCCCCTTTTGAAACGTCCATACGTGTATGTGTTGGAGGGAAGAACTGAGCCTTTGAAGGATCATTCTGAAAGCATTCTATTTTGTTTGGACGTCCCAAGCGCTCTACTTAGTAACAGGTTGGGGCGCTGAGTTACTGTCACTCTGCACACCAGCATTTGGGTTAAACCAAGCTTAAGATGCATGGAACATTGGGCAGAGCAAGACCTTAGGCAAGTTTCCTTACATCAGACGCCTCTGTTTACCTCGCAGCAAGTAGGAACATAGTTGGCAGTCGGATTGCTTTCTGGGGGAAACAATCCCTCAAAAAAAAATTGGGGTCACTCAATCCATGACTGTTTGTGGGGCACTGCTGTGCGCAATTGGCGGATGTGTTTCACCCACAAAAAATAGTCACTCTATCCCCTTTACAATATATTCTGTGAAGCGCTTTGAGACGTCTCAACAATGTGATAAGGTGCTTTATCAAATACAAGAATTATTATTATTGTCGCAGCCCGATTCTGGGTACACGGCTGCAGGTTTACAGTCTGGTGTGCATCTCGCGAGCAGTTGGGGGAATCTCACCTGCTTGTGCACAGCACGCTGCTTCATCTCGGGGCTGTCTCCCTTGGAGGAAGACGAGGATTGCTGCCGCACCTTGGCTCCACTGCTCGGCCACTCAGAGGAGGCTGGGGCCATGCCCCCGCTGGAGGGCCTGGGATACTGCGGGGGGTTGATTAACATGGCGGGTGGCGTCCTACCTCTGGCTGCCGGCGGGGGCTGGTCTATTCGCCGCTGTGGCCCTACGCTGCTCTGTCTCGGCACCGAGGCCTGGGTCATTTTTTCCGTCAGCGAGAGCTGCCTCCGCGAGAATTCCCCGGAGCGCCGGGCAAAGTCCTCCATGCTGGTGTGGCCGTGGAGGGTGTGCTTGGCCAGGATCAGCTCCTCGGCGCTGCTGAGAGAGGTGGGGAGGTCCATCGCGGGCTCCGCTACTCCCCGGGGCGAGAGGGGGATGCCCGCAGCCATCTGATAGACCGGATTCTGGAAGGATAACGGTGCCAGGAGATGAGGCCGTGCTGGGGGCGTGCTGTCGGAGCTGGGAGTGCCCACTGTCTGTCCTGGCTTTCGGCAGAGTGTGGGAGCGGTGCTCTGTGGGGGGAGCGGTGCCCGTTGGGTCGGCCACATTATGGGGGGCACGGATACGCTGGATCCCTGGCTGTCGTTCATGGGGTCGCCCACGCTGGGGGCATTGGGCGAGCTGTCCAAACTGCGATTGTCCTGCAGGTCGACCATTGAAAGGCTTTTGCTGCCATTGGGCATTTGCGGGTCAGGCTCGTTGGTCTCAGAGTAGCTGGAACTGCGAGCGGGCGAGGACTGCACAGCTGAGGACCTTGTGACAAAAAATAACTCCTTGTTTTCTGGGGTAGGAGAGGGTAACCTCGTAAAGTCTAATAAACTGAAAGGGGGAAAAAAGCAAGATAGCAATTGGAATGATAACAGTAAAACAATCACATTTTACTCTGACTGAATCAGACGTTATGGTCTTACTATACTCCCTCTACGATACGTTTGTCAAGTGCTTTCTAAACAGAGAAAATAAGCAAGAGAAGCCCAGCTTTAATCCAGCTTTTATCCTTCTATCCTGCCTTATAAGTAGCAAAAAACCCGCCATCCTCCTGGACACAATAAAATCTACAGAGAAATATTTGAAAAATGAAAATCTGAGAATGTGTGCAGAAATGGGGTTTGGGGGGGAAGGCAGGGGAGTGGATAATTCTTTCAGAAAGCTAGCACAAACACGATGGGCAAACAATTGGGCTTTCTATACCGTACAAGAGAAAGAGATTTAACTAATGCTTTTTGTTGGCCGTTTTGGCCTCTTTTTCTCTCTCTCCTGATGTTCCTGCTTCTCCCTTGCATGCCTACTGAGAGTTTTAAATGATTTGCAACAGCTCAAGGCGTTCACAAGACACGTTGCTGCCCTTTGAGGCTCGGTATCTCGCTGCGGGAAGCTGACTCGTAGATGGTTCTTAGCAAAACCAGTTTTGAAAGTAAAGCAGTCGGAAGAGAGGAAGTCACTTATTGCAGCCATTTAATTAAATGCTAACTCCGGCTGTCAGGAGAGTGGCCAAGACAATAAATAGATTGTGCGCTGATTAAGCACCGAAGCTGCAGGCTGAACTCCTTGTCAAGGACAGTCTAGGCAGGCATTGCTATTACACTATAGTTGGTACAATAAATAATAAACGAAGGAATAGCTATCCGAATGCTTTCCATACAATATTCCTCAAGCCCTTTCGAACTTAAGGAATCCGGGAGCTGATCCGGAAGAGAAATATCACTGGGAATGTCAAAACAAGTCCCGGCGTTTGGTGGGATCTCATTTTATATAACAAGTGATGGGATGGATTGGGATGAGACGAGGTCGTTGGGAGTAGACTGGAGGGAACTGTGAGCCCAGGGACTCTCAGAGCCTCTGGTGAAGAGAGCAACATGGTATGGAAAGAGTAACTCACAGGGGGAATGTTATGCCCAATTTATGCCATGTTCTTTCATCACCCTCCTATCCTCCCTGCCCTGCACCCTTCCTAATCCCAAACCCCAGCTCAGATCCAAATCCCTTACTGTTCAGCAGTGCCTTGGAACGTCCTCCCGACGTGAAAGCGCTTTACAAAATTAATTCTGAATTGTATTGTATCATGATTTGCGTCCAATGCAATCTAAATGCTTTTTTGTGCAATCTAGCCTCCTTTCTGCACGGTGAGCACTCTGGTGGGAAGCTTGACTGTGACTAAGAAATGTCACATTGAAGAGCTTGAGCTAAAGAGCGACAATGTTCACACTCACCCACTCAGGTCGTTGTCTATGACCATCTTCTGCAGCCCCGAGGAGAGGCTGCTGCTGGTGGCATTCGGAGTGGAAGTGCACGGATCAGAGATGGCTGACACCGAGACAGCCCCTGGGTTGGCGAGAGCCACATTGACATCTCTTAATATACGAGGCAAAGGTCCAAGCTTTGCTGCAGTAGCCTGAAGAAAATAAGTGTTGATTGTGACTGACCACACAGCTGGCTGATGTGCACAGATGTTTGTAGAGCAACGAGAGTTATGGAGCATGCAACAGATTGAAGATCACGAGGCTGGATTCAGAGCAGTGAATTTGCAGACTAATGGATAATGCATTAGATAAACAGCCATCCATCAGAAACACGTGAAAAACAATGCGTGGGAGAGGAGACACGGGGAAACAGCAAATCAACGCGGGGATCCAGAAATAAGAGTCTCACTCATTGGAATGAGTTTTTGTGAGAGGGCTACACTGCACCGGGGTCTTTCACACACACTGATCACTGGAGAATCTTATTACGTATCGCATCATAAACACACGAGTGTTGCTTTCAGCAATTACCATTTGACACCCCCTGGTCCTCACCACCTCATATCTTTCACCTCGTTTCAACAATGAACAATTTTCAATGAAATTTCAGTTTCTGAATTTACTTCACATTTGAAATGTTTCAATGGTTCAGTTTCGCTTCCCATTATTTTTACCTTTTGGCGTAAATCTGAATATTAACCTTGTATGTCATTCTCCGCTCAATGCCATTTTCTCCCCTCACAGTCCATGAAACCTGGTATCACTGTTATTCTTGGCTGCTTTCTGTCCCACAACATTCAACTTAATGGGAACAGAACCTCATTTGACAGCCCCCAAAACTATCCACCAGCTAAGACCATAAATTTCCCTCTGCTGTTTGAAATATCCCAATCCTCATTTAACTTTAATCCGTGGCAATTAAAATCACCCGGAATTATTACCTTATTTTCCCTGACGTACTCTTTGCTTATTCCAATAGTTTCTCATCTATCTTGTCTTTCTACTCGAGCGATCTGAAGCAATGCTCAACTCCCTTCACTTTGGCTGCTGCAAGTTTCCATCCAAATTAACTTGGACCTCCCGAGTGTATGGTTACAAATAGCCTTTTCCATTAACTCTCTTCCCTTATCAACAATGTTACTCTTTCCCACACCTTTCTAGGGCTCTGAACATTTGAAATGCTGTAAAAGCAGTTACAACCAGACTTTCTTTAGCCAATTCAATCTAGTCTTCTCTTCCAATTATCAGTCTCCAGATCAACAGAAGAGTGAGAGGAATAGTTCTACAATAGTGGCACTCAGGGTAAATAACGCTCATAATATGGATTCAGCTCAGCCCCAAGAGACCCCCTCAGACTTAGCAGATCATTTGATGGACACCTTTAATGAAATACATTATCACTGACTTAAAGAAGAATTTCCTTCAAAGCGAAATAATCTTGTCATCTTGATCAGTTTTATACATAAGGAATTATACCGAATTCTCCATTTAGCAATGTAGAAGTGAAAGGGAAAGAGCAGGGAATAGGAATAGAGTTCGAGAACTCCAGTGAAGAGCCAAAGAGAACCAACACAGACATGAATCTGAATGGCTTCCTTCTGGGATCTACCACCTAACAATGTAAACTGTACCTGATCCATTTGGGAAACCACTTCTGAAAGCAGTGAATGCAGGGTGGAGAGCTCTCGTCCCAGGTCAATGTAACCCTCAAAGCCTGCTGTATTGGATATGGTCTCTGGGTTGGATATCTCCAGTAGGAATCGCTGCATGTTGGTCCACTCGTGTTCAAGGAACTGATTCATGAAAGACATGTATTCCTCTTTGCTACCAAACCTGAAGGAGAACAGGATCAAAATCTTAATTGTTGGGTCTCAACATTAAGTATAACAACTTGCATCTAAAACACACCTTTCACATATGCAAATATCTCAAAGTACTCGAGTCTCCATCCTTTAATCAGAGAATTTCACATCCCACAAACTAACAGTCAATTGAGCAATAAAACACTTTTAACACCCAACAAGTCGTAGTCATTGGAGTAGCTTCACAACTATAAAGCAGCCTTGCGTAATACTTCACACACAAGCTGCTCTCACTCTTCAACTTTTACACGTGAAAATGTCTCAAAAGTACCTTGCAGTAATTACTGCCAAGTGCAGTAACATGGTTGCTACATTTTCACCATTATATGAAAGGGATAAACCGTTTAATCTGGTGAAGAGATGTGCTGGAACAAACCGAACACATGAGAAATGAGATGTTCCGCTTAATAGATGGATGAGCCCCTCCTGTTGCTACGTGCCTACCAGCCACAGTGCAAAAACTGGAACCAAAAAACTTACTTGGCAAAGTTTGCTAAGTTCTGGGTAACTTTGGCAATGAGGGTCAAAGTGCGAGCGGTGCGGTCGTCTGGGTATTCCTGCAGAAGGTTGAAGAGGGAGGGCGACATGACAGCCGGGCAGAGGAATCGCAGGAAGAGGGAAGCACTGATGAGCCTCTCGCTGATGTCAGGCCGGCCACGGTTACTGCATTCCTGCCTCCAGGATGCAAACACCTCCTTCAGCTCCCGCGGGAACACACTGTGGAACAATTTCTGCAAAGTTAGCAAGTTTGCCATATCTAACAACGTACAAATTTGCTAGATGAAAGAAGACTAAGGTCCATCCAGTTCGCTTTCCACCATCCTACTACCCACCTCGCAAGCGAGAGACCTGGGTTCGATTCCCGGCAGGGTGAAACCTTGGGCAAGTTTCACACGCCTGATAATAATCCCTCAAGAAAAAATATAATAATAATTTGGCCACTCGATCCATGACTGTTTGTGGGACGCTGCTGTGTGCATTTGGCTGGCGCTTTTTGTCCATAAAACATACAGTCAATCACTTTACAGTATATTCTGTGAAGCGCTTTGAGATGTCTAGAAGACGTGAAAAGCACTATATCAAATGCAAGGATTGTTTATTTATCCTGGCAGTTGCTTGACATGTCGTGTCCCAAACTGCATACTGTATCCCAAGATATTATTTCCTAACAGAAATCTATCTAATTTGTTCTTGAACAAATTGACATTTTCTGCTTCCACCGTCTCCCTAGGGAGCCTGTTCCATAAGTTTGCCATTCACGCACTAAAGTAGTGTTTCCGCAGATTTGTTCTGAATTTACCTCCCTTCAATCGCAGGCCGTGTCCTCTGGACATCTGAAGCAGAGGGGGTTAAACCATGTTTAAAACCGGCAGAACCACTACTCTAATCTGACAGGCAGCACCACAATGTCTGATGATTGCATTCTGCTGCAGTTTCAGGCACTTTTACATGAAACACACTTACCAAAAGCTGTCAATCATCAAAACACAACAAAGAATGAAGCTTTAAAAAAAGGCAAAACTGTCTTTGACTTATGATAATTCAATATGACAACAACTTGGATTTATAAAGCGCCCCTCGTGCAGGGTAGTGTCCCAGAGCACAATACCGTGAAAGAGTTTAAAAGGGTCAGCTTTTCCCATATCGAAAAAAGGGTCACAAAAAGGCGGTTCTTTTGTACGAACAGATGTTGTATTGTATCTCTGCTGGCTGAGGGCGTTAACCTGAGAGCTGCCGTGGGAAGTCTCGGTGACCTCCCAGCAGAGCTGAAGAGTTGGCAATGATGTGTGTCTCCACTGAGGAAACCAACTAGTTTTTAGAGAGATGCGCTTTACATCGTACACTGAACGTATCTGCTTTACTCTTTCTGTTGCAAAAGATGTGCTATACAAAGGGTGGCTGTGGATCTGAATTTGGGGCGATGCGGGGGCAGGGGTTGGGGTCAGATTGGAAAAATGAATGAGTTTCTCACAGAAGCTACAGCATTAGTTCATCTGTTCATCGTGCAAGGCATCTGAATTGGCACGAATCATGTTGGAGCCCTGCTCCTTACATCGTCTGCATGACAAGGTCATTAGAGCAGGAGAGGGACAGTGGGGGACGACGACGACCAATAATAAATTGGCCACTCAATCCACGACTGTTTGTGGGACGCTGCTATGCGCAATTGGCTGCTGCGTTTCGCCCACAAAATGTACAATTAATTCACTTTACGGTGTATTCTGAGAAGCACTTTGAGACGTCTCGAAGACGTGATAAGGCGTTACATCAAATGCAAGGATTATTATTATGATCCACCAAGTTTGGTTTCTTACAGGCAGGATTACCCCTAACCAGTGAGTCAGCAACAGGAAACAGATGGAAAGTATTTTAGCAGCATTTTGCTTAATCCCTGTAACTGCTGGTTATGCAAAATGAGGAATTTGCCAAAACACAACAAAGATTAAACAGAATAATTGATGTTCACGATTATAACAAAGATCTGCTAATCGGCATACAGGTTTCCAGTCTAAACAGCCCACATTTGTTGCTGAACCCCACAAGCCTTGGCTCTCGCCAACCTCGCCTTATACTTTCCGGAATTATGGTGCGTCTCTCCAGGGGGGGAGAGAGAGAGAGAGAGAGTGAGTATTCCACTCCAACAATCTATCTCTGGGATTTTCATGTGTAGGTGGGATGCATGGAATTCTGAGTTTGGTTTGGAGACTCTTAAGCACCAGTGATGGGTTTCCGCCTGTGTCAAAACAAAGCTCTCACAAGTACACATGACAATAAACGCAGAAGAGTTAGAGATGTCAATCTGCACAGAGACAGGAAACTAACTGACCAGTAAGAGTTAATGATCTTGCAAAATGCCAGTTCACAGCACATCTTCAGGTTGCTCTGGTGTTCCACTAGGTCCCCTGGTGAGCACTTGCTCGGATCCACCTCGCAATTCTCATCCGACTCGTAAAGAGCTTTGATGAATTCTCCTGTTGGAAGTGGAATTGAGAAATTACACACCAAATCCCACGGCTACATTTTTTGCAGATGTAACTTTGATCGTGAAGAAACCAAATCTACCTTTTCAAGCACTGTTACTTTCCGGAATTAGGTAAGCAGGATGTGTCCCTCCAGGCAGAGAGAGGAGAGAGAGAGAGCGCGCGCGAGAGAGAGAGAGAGAGAGAGAGAGAGAGAGAACACGCATTCCATTCTAACAACAACTTGCATTTATATCACGGCCTTCACTCTGGACGGCATCTCGGAGCGCTTAAAAAAACAAACCTCTCACGTTCCATGTGGAGGTGGGATACATGGAATTCTCAATTTGTTTTGGAAACTCTTAAGTATGGTGATGGGTTTCCGTCATGTGTCAGACACCCAGCTGATCAAAAAAAANCAATCAAGCCCTTCTCTAATCATGAATTGCATTATGTGTCCATACATCATGTGAAACTGGCAATTGGTTTTTACCGATGGGGAAAAGGCAACAAAATCTCTGTGCCTGCGTGCAAACATCCACACGAAAAGCAACGTTTCATTAACAAGTTTCAAAAGCATCAGTCGCCAAAGACAACTTACATTTATACCGGACCTTTCACATAAGATAAACATCTCAAAGGCACTTCACAAAGATTGATTAGAAGCGAAGTGATCGATGTTCTGCAGGCAAACGCGGCAGCAGCTCATCTGCGGCCACGACATCCCAGAAACAAAATAGATCAAAAAGTGAAACGAGCTTCTTACATTATTGATGTAAGTACTGTACTGTATACCCCGATCGTTTACCATTAAACCATTAGAGCAACAGATCCTTCTGCACGGAACTTCACTGCAAACGGTTCAAATCTAAGCCAGACTCGATGAGACGTGCATAACAACTCTTTAATATCTCCCCACTTGAGGTCAGCCAGTGAGGCTCCCTGGCTATAGGTCTCTAGCGCTGTTTGTGGGACATTGCTGTGCACAATTGGCTGCCATGTTTCATCCATAAATACACAGTCGATACACATTACAGTATATTCTGTGAAGCGTTTCGAGATGTCTCAACAAAGTGATACGTGCTATACTAAATGCAAGAATTATTATTATTATTTGGAAGCCGGTTCTTTTAAGAAAAACAGCTTCCAAATGAAGAATTGAGTTAAGATGTTTCCCCCCCCTGACTGTGTATCATCTTAAAGTTTAAGACTGGGTGGAATTTCAGGCCCAAGATTTTAAACCAAACAACATTATAGTTTCTCTCTGTTCTTCGAGCCAAGCCTCGAACAATATCTTCCCTGATACTCCCAAGAGACACAAAATGCAACAACACACAGAAGCAGCTCAGGCACGTACAACGTACATACAGTTGCCCCAAAGACTGAAGGCAGGACGAGGGGAAAAAACACAATGGAGCTACAAGTTTATTTCTTCTACTTTTGCCGCTCTCCATTAAGCACGTACCCAGTGCATCTTGTAGATATTTTTGGCCAACCAGTTTGAGATACTCCTCGATGGCTTTGGTTGCTAAAGTGTTCTCCCGGAAAATTAGGTGTTCGTTATCTCCACACCGGTCCACCTCTGACATCATCAGGTCAGTCAGGAAATCCTGTGAAGGAAAGCGAGGAAAGTCAGTGCTCAGCAGATTCCAGTACATGATAGCAACCTGTGGACATTGCATCATTACACGCATGTAGTTTCTCCTTCCCAAAGCCCGAGCTCACCTCCTCTCTCTCCAGTGAACTGATCGTACTAGCTTTAAGGATAAGGTCACAGGAGAGGTTCAGATGAACAAAGAACACTAGATTAAAAATGAACAGTAGAACCAGAGGACGCGGCCTGCGATTGATGGGGGGTAAATTCAGAACAAACCTGCGGAAACATTACTTCAGTGAGCGAGGAGTAAACATACGGAACAGGCTCCCTGGGGAGATAGACGGTGGAAGCAGAAAGAGTCGTTTGTTTCAAGAACAAGTTAGGTAGATTTATGCGACTGTCAGGATGGTGGAAGGTGAACTAGATGGACCTTGGTCTTCTTTCACCAGCAAATTCTTATGTTCTTAAAGTCCTTCAGTTGATTTGATCACATCCTTCCTAACATTGTTTTATATACAGTCTTAGCGTAAATGACTCCAATGTCCTGGGCTCAACCTGATGTTTCAGTTCCTCAAACACCTCCTCAGAATGAGGAATTTCACCTGCGGTTTTGCTGGAGCTGAATCTCTATCCCGACAAACAGAGCCTGGGGTGTCGAGCACACCAAACCTCTTCAGTAGATGAGGCATTTCATAGAGTGACTTACAGTGGCGAAAACTAGCAACCTCATCTATCTCCGTGTCAATCTGGTCTGCCTTGGTTTCATAAAGCAGCACATGGAGCAATGCAACCTGTCAAGGCTCCTCTCTAACACAAAGCAGTCTCTTCAGGCACTTGCGGGCTTTGAATCGAAGAAGGAAAAAAAACCCAGAGAAATTGCCAAGTGAAATCCTGAGGGACACTAAGCAGGGAAGTTGTAAACTGCTCGCTTCAGAGCACTGCTGTAGGGCTCAGAATCGAGCACGGCTAAAACTGTCAGCAGTGTTGGTTTCATGAGTTCCAGGCAGGAATACTAAAACAGAAGGCAGACCTGAGCAGATTACCTCTGTAGGCCTGTGGCCACTTAACAGCGAGCTAGCAGGGTTTGAGCTGAAAACAGGATGAGTGTTATGTGAGTCTTCAAATCATTGAAATCAAAGCACAAAAGGAAGTCAGTTGGCCTGGCAGACACCCATCGGAACCATCCATTCCCAATTTCCTGCTATTTCCCAAATCCTTCTACATTCTTCCTCTTTACACTCTTATAAAATTTACCTTTAAATGTCATTGTCTCTGGCTCAGTAACCACTTGTAGCATTCTGTGATCTCACTCCAGCGACAATACAGAGTTTACATCCTTTTGTTACTGATTAACCAACTAATGTGAATAATCTTTCATAATCTACCTTCTCAAGACCTTTCAGATTTTCACAGACCTCTCTATTAGATCCCCTCTCCTCTTTTTTTCCCCCAGTGAATTTACAACCTTGATTATGGTGCAACTTAGTCCCGCAAAACATTGTTAGACCAATTTTTCAGTTCAGCCGTTACAACTTGCCCTTGTACATTGCATTTCACAATGCATGAATGCCTCAAAAGTGCTTTACATGTACAATAGAGAGCACCAAGCAAGGGGAATAAAGGATGTTGACCAAAAGCAGAGGAAGATTTTAGCTTCCTTAACATTGTCTGATATTTCTCATTTGATGTTTCTACAGTTCACGTGTCTAATCCAGACAACCCACGAGAGATGTGGCCAGGAGCCCTGGTTCAGCACAGCAAGGAAACCATTTTCATAATCAGTGGGAGGGGGAGTTCCTTTCAATTGAGCTGGGGGCTCAGAGCTCCTCTCTACTTATATAATAACGTCAGGGATGAATGAACAGCCTGGTTGCAATTTGCTCCAATAACACCACAGTCTCGGACTTTAACCTAGAAGCAGCAGAAACACTGTGACGGGGGACATGCAGAAGGATTACTTTGGATTGTCTCTGAATTCAGATCTTTAGATTGTGGAGAAATGGCTGTGCTAGGCTTATTATATTTAATTGTGTAGAAAAACAACCAGCTAATTTCAAAAACGGCAAATAATTTGTAGAATTCCTGAGCTTAGAACTGGGGAATTAATGACTGTAATAGCTTTGGGCTGTGTCTATACTGCACCTTGCACACTCACTCGCCAAGTACTATATAAATTAGGCCAACCTATGAATGGAATGCGTTGGAGCCTCACTGCTGTGATTGGGGCATGTGGGAAAACTGTTCCTTAAGGTTACGAAGGAGCTGCTTGTGTGGCTGACTCTTTAATAGTTAATAAACTAGCAACTGAGTTTTGCTGGCAGCAGTACAAACCGAGGGCAATATCGCTGTCGCCACCGCTGTTTATCTGGCAGACAAAAGAAAGAAATAGGAGACAGGCTCGTTCTAAAATAAGAGGTATGTTGGCACATGAGTCAAGAAAGTCTCACTAAAGGGTGACACGTTAAGATCACAAAACACATCACTGGCGGGAAGTCTAAATGAGAACTTTGCTTTTTAGTAAAACAAGCCACAGGGATTTTTACTTTCCATTACACCAGTTGCACATCAATGAGTTGTTGGTACTTTTGAAGGGCAACTAATGATGATGGAAATGCTCTCTCTCTCTCTATAAAATGGAAGATTCCACATCTAATTAGCCTGTGGTTCTGGCTATCAGATAATTAGCACCGAGACAATTAACATTTGGACTGTCAGTGCTCATAGACACCACAATGATACTTTAACCTTGTCCCTCCATTGTACTTTTACCTTTCATACCCTGAAGGCTTGCTCACTTCCCCTTAATTAGCAGTCACTGACCCCTGTGCTAACTCACTCTCGCTTTGGTCCAGCTCTGAAAGCACTTCATTATCGCGCACAAATATTCTCTCCACTTCCTAATCGAGCTACCGCCTCACAGTCGTCTTTCACCAAAGCCTTTCCGAATCCACTCTATTGCTGAACTACTGTAGATGAGCGTTAGAATTACTGGTAACGTGTGTTATTTTTAATGGTAGCGAGGAAAATGAGCTACTTGCAGAAGCAGGCGTATGACACTGAAACTATATTATCTGACTTCACCGGAACGTGAATTATGCTGAACCTGAGCACGAGAATCATACTAAGTAGATTAATGAATAATTTTCCCACTGAAATGATGAGACAAGACTGTTTCATGGCATCTTACGGTGACGGCATTAGTGCGAATGTTAACCTGTAATTACATTTCCCACTGGGTTAGATATTAACATAATTAAACCTTTCACTCAACGTCTCTCAAACCTGCCATGGCCGAGCCGGTCAATCACAACCCAGGGCTGAAGGCTTCTTAAACAATGTGCGAGACATGAGGTCTTGCTTCTTTGAGTATTATTGCTCCCATTTCTGGCCGCTCAGTGCGACAGAATGCTTGATTGCAGTTATTATTTGCACTCGGGCGGCAATTCATAAAATTTTAGGCAATTTTGTAAACCAACACAGATGGAAAGTGAAATCTAATCACATTTTTACAGCAAGGCTTCGGGCTATAAGTGCTCAGTTTTGCTCACAACCTCATTCTTTAATCCTGTTGCAAATCTGCTCCCAATTAACAAATCACTGCTATTTTAAAAGCCCCATTCACCTCCCCCCACCAATCACTATCTCAACATTAAACCCATCCCCTCCATCGCTATTTCGGTATTAAAGTCCGCCCGGCCCCTCCATTGCTATTTCAGTATTAAGCCCATCTACCATTTCCTGTATTGTGAAATCTAAGAAAACAAAATGTCACCAGTACTATACCACAAATATTTTCACAGTGGGGGGGGGGGGGGGGGGGGGAGATAACAAGCTTAAGAAGATTTATCTAGCGTCTTTTATCAAAGAGGAGAGTACTGCAGGAAGATGTGTGTCCATCCTCAATATCTTTGCCTCTCAAAGTCTAAACCATTTAACTATTCCACCTAATCACTGGTTATTCGCCTCCCGATCTCTCAGCTCTTGTGTTCGCTTGTGAATACATCAGACCAGCTCAATGCACTAAGGGGCACTTCATTCCACCAGTCAACAACAAGGAGCAAGACCCACTCTCCAGCAGATTTCTAGAAATACTCGCACCGGGAAAATAATAATAATCCTTACACTTGATATAATAATAATTATACTTGCACTTGAATATTAACCCTTGCGTCTTTGAGATGTCTCAAAGCCCTTCACGGAATATACTGCATTAATAATAATAAATAATAACTGTAAAATGAATTGACTGTACATTTTGTTGACAAAACCTGGCAGCCCATTGTCCCACAAACAATCACGGATTGGGTGAGCAAATTATTCTTTTTGAAAAAAGTTTCTTTTAAGACGTTATTACCTCTGGAAACTGATCTGCCAATTGACTAACAACAGGGTTCCCATTTGCTGCTAGGTAAACAGAGGTGTGTGGAGTAAGGAAACTTGCCTAACATTTCGCCCTGCCCGGGAATCAAACCCAGGTCCTCTCGCTTGCGAGACGAGCGCTCTAAGCACTGAGCTACAGGACTCCGATGTTGAAGTAACTCACTTCAGGTTGGCTACGAATGGCGAATGACACAGGGAGAGCCGCAGGGCAAGTGCCACAGATAAAACGCCTGGTGCTTGATGTATAGGCTACTGCACAAGGTTAAACAGGACCATTTATTTCCATACCGCATCAACCATAACCAAATCGCCCTTCTTTCTATAGGGTCATATAGATAACAAAATGGGAGAGTGAGCTAAAGCTTTACACAGCAACATCAGCAGCAGTATTGCTGTAAACCGCAGCAAGCAGATAAGTAATGCCTCATTTATCCCAGGTAACTTCCCCATCATTAAACCGTTCTAAGTGTACCCTGCAGACACAGCAACAGTGATACTGTTCAGAATAACATTGTGACCCATCATTCACAAGCGGAGCCCTGAACACCAGCTATCTCTCTACAAATTGCAACATGTCAGCAGGATTTTGCACAGGGCAGTTTGTGACACAATTGCTTACTGTTATGAAAGGAGGGCCTCCAATCCCAAAGTGTTCACAGTCCAATTAGTTAACCCACGTTCAACAAAACAACTAGCAAATGAATTCATGTTTCCAAAAAAACCCCTAAGTGTTCCAGTGTCTCAGTTCTATTATGCTGAGAAGTTAGAAATAATGAATAACAATAACGTGCTGAGTAATAGGAGTTTTGTCTGAGACGAAATATACTTTGGATTATACACTCATGTTCTGCCCTGTTTTGAAGCTCTCGGGGTATTACTGAGGGCTATAACTGGAACAATCACCATAATCACCATTAAATGTCTTTGATGGTAACACCAGCAGTGCAGCTCACTGGTAAAGGTATTGATCATATCTCTTTGCTAAGATTATCTCATCACCAAGATTCACGGACATTTTTCTATGTTTCACATGCTCACTCAATCTGTTTTGAGAGATGATAACAACGTCTAATATGTATCTCATTCAGAGATGAATGCTGCACGCTCTCACCAACACCTGACAACCCAAAGAACGAGCCACGCCAGACATTACAAAGGTCCGTAGTCACATGAAGCCTGTCACTGGGAAGGCAGTGCGGGCGAGATGGTGTTTGCTTTGATGTGCAATCGTTGCCCCTCATCACATAACTGTACGGTCTTCAGTGAAAAAAACCTAAAGATCTGGCGATAAAAAAAATCTCGTGCTGTATAGTCGTTAGGCAATCAGGGAAGGTCCAAACTCATGACTGAGACGACAGATAGCTTAGAAGTAAATGCTAATTAAGCCCAATGTAAATATTGAAACCACTCAGCACAAGCTTCTCCCAATTGTCGGCAAATTGACAGGAAATAATCTGATAGTGGGAGAATCCCACGGTAGCCCAAGACCATGCGCTGCTTCAGAAACTCGTCGATTACCCATTTTGTTCAACAAACATTGACCCAAACTACTACGATTCAAGACCAGGCCTAGACGGTCCCCGATGCAGTCGGTCGCTCACCTTAGCCTTTCCCGTGCTTTGCAAGATGTGCACCAACGCGCAGGCCATCTCCTCCTTGTTTTTCACGCTCAGCACGGGCTCCAGGATGGAGCACAGCAGCATGTAGTTGTTGGTGACGTATTCGGCAAACTCCTTGTACAGCTCCATGGGCAGGATGTTCATGCTCTGGTAGCGGGATTTGATCCTGATCATTGGAGCGGGAGCCTTGCCCTTGCTGGCGTTGGGCATGCTGACAGGATACCACTTCTCCAGGAACTGCCGGCCAGTCACTGTGGCTATGGGGATGTTGACCAGCCCCACGTAGTTGTTCTTATCTTTCTTCTTCTTTTTATCGGTCTCTTTGTACAAGTGCACGGTGATGTTTTTGACGGCGGGCAGGTTATTGAACTCAAAGTGCTCCCCCCAGAAGACGTTGTCCGTTTTCAGCTTGCAGGTAGTCCGTGCGTACAGAGTGTCATCCAGACACAGTTCACAGAAGTACTTTTTCTTGGCTGGAACATCCTTGGCTTCGATAATCCACAGTTTGAGCACATTTTCCACTCGCCTGCTGTTATCCTACAAAGTTAAGGGAAAATGACAAACAAAGGTTAGAGAAGTTACAAGATTGATTTTACACAGACTTGTGATTTGTTGCTTCAGGTTCAAATCAATTGATTTCTTCAAGATATATTTCCAGAAGCAGCAAACCAAACACCACAAAACATCCTAAGTTTAAACAAAATGTGTCCAGTGTCATCTATCAACACCTCCAATACATTCAAAGGTTTCAAAATAGCTCTTAAAAATGAAGCTGGTTATGGGAAGCGAAGGAGCCATTTCGCTCATTCAGTCCATTTATTCGATCTTATGATCCATTTCCATATCTCGTATTTCCCACTGCCGTTTTTTAGACATCCTAATTGATTCTGCCTTTAAGGCCTGTGGGCAATGTTTACAGTTTGCAGGGCAGGGCATACATTGAGGGTAAATTGATTTGAATGGAGAGTTGGCAATGGGCATAGAGACATTGATGAAGTCTGGGTACATGTTTACAGCCCAACCCCCACCACAGCACGGGCTGTGAGGAGAGAAGAGCTCCTGAGAGAGGAATGAAACAAGCCCTGAAGGTAGGTGCACTGATCCAATTACTTTTATACATTTTAACATGATTGCACTTAGATTGAGCTTTTTCAATGCGCTGTTTTGCCTTAGGAAATTATTCAAACACACTGCTTTGGTAGCAGGACCTGCAACTGAATGTGTTGGTAAATGAGAGGAACGATCACCGAGGTTCTTTGCTTCTGGATTTTTAACCAACCCTGGCACAGCGACGAGATGCTATGACGAGAGATGGCCATCACATCACGTTCATGCCTCCAGGCATCTTACACTGAGTCTGTGAATTGTTGACTAAATGCTTTGACATCTAATGTTAATTGGCTGCAACAAAGGCAGAAGGATGGGGTGGATCATGTGTAGCAATTACCGTTTCTGCTATTGCTGCGGCTGCTCAAAGTAATCTAGGTACACGTTCAAAACCTCACGTAAATAGCGTGAGTGTGTCCTGCTGACTATTTCGGATAGGGTGGATAAAGAGAGCTTAGAGGCAGCAGTCTACAGAGCTCTGGAGAGACAGGGAGTGAAATAGCCTGCTACGCTTGCCCAGCCCAAAGTACTTTTCATTCAGTATTAGTGTAAGACCAATAAAAGGAAGAGCAGGAGAGTGGGAGTAAATGGATGGCATTCAGAGAACCAGCAAGGATGCAACAGAAATGGGCAACTTCTGTGCTGTAAATTCTTTGACAGCCCAGCGCTAGCTGTAAAGGGCACCTGACCCCGATAGCGGATGCATTACCTTATTTGGCTGCACAGCACGTCGTAGATTCTCCATCCACTTGTCTCTTTCTGCCGCTGAACGGCACGAAAAGCACTTACTCCCGGATGAAGTGGTCACCTGCATTGAGGATAATTTCACATTATTATTTCAACAAATGGTCCCTCACATGCGATCAGGCTTCTGGGTGAGTGGTCAGCTCGGTTGCTATAGGGACGAGCAATTTAGCAATACCTTCATCCAATGTGATGAGAATCTCCCACCCTCTCCCGTAGCCCCAGTAGACCAGAATATTAGTCAGTGCATAGCCAAGGGTCTTTTTATTTCCACCGCATCTTGTGTTAGTTCATAATGATGACGAGAGTAGGAATGAGATTTTAGGAGATATAGTCAGAGGATGCTATTTTATTGAGAAAAAAAATCCTTCAATATCTGTTATCCTGTAATCAAACGTCAAGCTGATTAATGGGCCAGGCTTCATTTTAGATTAAAAAACATGGAATTCATATTTCTCTGAACTCCAGTTCATTTGGAATAACGCTGAAAGCCACATACGGAAAGCTCGCTCGAGCGAGGGAGGGAGGGAGGGGTGGTGTGGAGCCAGGGAGGGGCTTCGTCTCCGCTGTGTAACATCACTCGCAAGCAAAACACATTGACCTAAATTGTTGCAATAGCACCGAGCTGCTGCCTTACTCTGTATGCATCACACAATTTTAACCGCATATATACATGCATGTTGTGCTGAGCAGGATCTTATTGTGTGTGGGCCATCCTCCCATCGGTGGCCAAGCGCTCAGCCACTACGCCAGCTCTCAAAATCTCTTTCCACAAATCTCTCCATCTTGTGTTCTCTTTCCTGCCTTCAAATCACTCCTAAAAGCTGCCTTTCTCTCTTCAGTGTGCCTACAATTTTCCAGATTTTTTTGTTTTTAAGTAACATCTTCCAAATTAAGAATTTTCCAAATGTTCTGCAATCAGAATTTAAAAAAAACAGTGGTCTTACTGCTCCGACCAGTTCATAATTTTAAGACTGCGGAATGTAACCCTGCCCTACCCTTCCCAAGGAAAGAAAAGCAGAAAACCCCAAGTATGTGCACATTAAGCACAGAATATTTCATGTAGAATTGAGAGTGCTATTCTTGGACCTGACTGCCCAATACACAGGGTAATTCTAAGCAGATGGATCCTGCCTAAAACTAGGGATGTGACACAGGTTCTTTAAATTCTAATCACATCCCCTAGCGACCTTTTCTCGTCTGATCTGCAACCGTTCTCCATTTCTTCTCCTCCAGGCAGCGGCCTTTCACCTCATTAGAAGTTCACACGGCTGCAGGTAGATCAGGGCTGTGGCAGAGCAACATAACAGAGCTCTTTGGACAAATATTCTGGGGTTATATACACAGCAAATATGCTCTTTATGTTTTCTTTTCCAAATCCAAGCAAACACGTATTGAGAAGTGCCACCTGATAAATAGCCTCTCAAGTAATGGATCACAAGCCTTTGTCATTTGTGAACTACTGAATTTAACTTGACACAGATATTTATCAGATCAGCTCTTTGGTTACCACGGATCCTTTATTCACTCCCCGCATCTAAATGTCCTCTCACTGTTTCTCAACTCATTTCCTGAACAATCTCAAAAACCACAAGTGACATGGTGACAAGTCCGATTTAAAAAAAAGGGAAACCACATCAGAAAATTTTCACCCGTTCGACACAGAAACAAAGCGTAAAAAAAAGGAAGGCTTTAGCATAGGGATATACCTGACAATATGTGAATATGTGCTGCAAACATCAGCTTCTGCTTTTAGATCATTCTTTGTTGGGGGGGGGGGGAGCAGAGTTTCCTCTTTAATTAGAGAGCTGAGAGTGGGCAAAACAAGATTTTATTCCTGAGGGATTTCCAATATAGCATCCAATTCTCTGGGCAATAGCTAGCAATGGCCCAGCCGTCGCCTGCAAATATTTCCGACATCCATCAAAAGTAATTAAGGCTCGATGGCTTCAATGGCCTACATGTATAACATCCTGCATATTCAAACACAATTGGACACTTGTGGCAAAGAATAACTCTGCTCCCCCACAAGGAACATTTGGTGCTTATTGCTCAAGGACTCGGCAGTCCTCTCTCTGCCTCGGTTTCTCTCGCCCCTCAGTGTCTCGTGCAGAGCTAGGGTTCCACAGGCAGACAAATTCTTCCAGCACCTCACCCAACTAACCGCGTGTGAAAAAGACAGTGAAAGAGGGGAGGCAAGGGGAGCCATCACATCCCAACCAGATCCTGTTCTCACCCAATGTCCACTTGGATTCCCTTCCAGTGGGTGAGGGGGTCGTCACTGGATAGAGATCAGGTGTGCTCACGTTTTCCCTTCTCCAGATTTAATGGGAAATGCCAAAGCTGTGACTGTGATCAGCTAACACACCAGAATCTTACATTACATCTTTTTGGTCTGTTTGGCTCAGTATTATACCATTTACCCGCTGAAGATAAACATTTGTGAAGTATTATTTTATACAATACAGAATTACATTTGTAAAGCGCCTTTCACGTCGGGAGGATGTCCCAAGACGCTGAACAGTAAGGGATTAGGAGCCGATTTGGAGGGTGGGATTGGGATCAGGGAGGGTGGAAGGCAAAGAGGGTGGCCGAAGGTGTGGTCGAAGAGGAGTGTCTTGAGGCGTGCTTTAAAGGAGGCAAAGGAGGGAGCGAAGCGAAGGAATGTGGGATGGAGTTCCAGAGGGTTGGGGCAGAGAGGCTGAAGGCTCGACCTCTGACAGTGGGGCGGGCATGGCGGGGAACATGGAGCAGGTCGGAGCCTGCTGAGTGGAGAGAGCGGACAGGTTTATAAGGAGTTAGCAGGTCGGAGAGGGTAAGGCGTGGAGGGCCTTGAAGGTGAGGACGAGGATTTTGAACTCGATCCCCTGAGGGATGGGAAGCCAGTGGAGCCGGACGAGGGTGGGGGTGATGGTGTCATGGAGCCTGGTGCGGGAGATGACACGAGCTGCAGAGTTCTGGATGATCTGCAGATTGTGGAGGGAAGAGTTGGGGAGGCCGACAAGCAGGGAGTTGGCATAGTCGAGCCTGGATGTAATGAAGGCATGTACGGGGGTTTCGACGGCCTGAGGGATGAGGCAGTGGCAGAGTCGGCAGTGTTGTGGAGGTGGGGGAAGGCAGAGCAGGTCATGGCACGGATGTGGGGGAGAAAGGCAGTTGAGGGTCAAACAAGATCCCAAGGTTCCTGACTGGCTTAGTAAGGTGGGTTGTGCATCCGTGGATGCTGATGCTGCCAGTGCCTAAGGTGAGGAGGTGCTGATGGGAGTCAGTCAGGAGAGCCTCGGTCTTGCTGATGTTCAACTGTAGAAAGTTAGCTCTCATCCAGAACTTGATGTCTGACAGGCAGTCTGTCAGGACAGCAGTGGTCCTGGAGTCGAGGGTGGAGGCAGAGAGATAGAGAGATTCTCATCACATTATAAAAAAAAACTTGTTAATACAAGAGAAAGCTTCTCAATATGATGTTGCAGCCAATTTCCCTTCTGTTAATGGCTTCCAATAAATAACTGATTTTCTCTCTTACCATTGGAGGAACAGATTCTCCGATGCTGTAGTGCATCAAAATAACTTCATAGAATGTTCAAAAAAACGTATTCTGATCCTTCCCTCCTCACCTTTTGTGCACATCCTCTCACTCTCTGAAGCACTCTTTCCTGTTTTTCTCTAGTTTATTGTTGGTCTGAACTTCCCTCTCTTGTTCCTGCCAAGTTTCATCACATCATATCCACTCACCCTCCTCCCAGCATCCTCACTGTGTTGAAACCAAAATACATTGACCCATTTCCTATTTGTACCCATTTGTTTCCAAGGACCTCCGACACCCTTTCAAATCTCAGCCAGGGACGCCCTCTTAACATGAAAGGCGCTATACAAATGTAGTTTGTCGTTGTTGTATTCTTCATCATAATAATCCTTGCATTTGATATAATAATAATAATCTTTGCATTTGATATAGCGCTTTTCACGTCGGGAGGACATCCTTCACAGAACACACTGCTTCACAGAACACACTGTAAAGTGAATTGACTGTATATTTGTGGGCGAACGCGGCAGCCAATTGCGCACAGCAATGTCCCACAAACAGTCACAGATTGAAAATGACCAATTTATTATTGTTTTTGGTTTTTTGGTTTTTGGAGGGATTATTATTATTCGTGTGGAGTAGGGAAACTTGCCCAAGGTTTCGCCCTCTGCCGAGAATTGAACTCAAGTCTCTCGCTTGCAAAGCGAGTGCTCTAACCACTGAGCTACAGGACTCCACATAGTGCCTTACATGTCAGGAGTAAGTCTCAAAGTGCTTCACAGAGTTTATTATAAAGTGTAGCGACCGTGTCTTTTGTCGGGACAAACACAACAGTTCAAAGACCCAAAGACATGCGGCTTAAACTATGACCTTCCAACTGAGAGGTGAGAATGCTACCAACTGTGGCAGGCAGCCTCACCGGTTTATCAACCTTGGTGACTAATGCAACACAAGCTTTAGCTCTAGCTTCTCACCACATTACAAAAAAAAGACTTGTTAAACACAGACCTTCCAAAAGCCAAATTTATCCACATGTTAATCTCTACTGCAGAGATCTAAGGATATAATCACCCGGAATTACCAGGGGCAATTACTTGAAGACTAATGATGGTTCAAAAAGGAAGATTGGAGCGCAGGCACATGAAACTGTAAGAAAAAAAAGTAACATGGTACTTGTTGAAAAATACTCAGATTACAGTCGGGCTGTACAGGTCATCGCTCCCCTCCGCTTGTTTACTCCACTCTATCCCGCTTGGTTATACACACACAGGCTGACGCCAACCCAGTTGAACAACACCAATTTGCATTTAGATAGCGGCCTTCACAGATGACATTGGTTGCAAAAGCTACAGCCTGAGAGCCACAACCTCCAGTCCTCAGAGAATCTATTGGCCTCTGACGTGTTCAGTTGGGTACAAAAGGTACTTTAACCCCTTGCGCTCACAAGGCTGAATATGGTAAACATCTCTGCACAGCGCCAATAACAACTACAACAACAGGGATTCAGGAGTTAGCAGCAATTAGTGGCTAATCATCCATGGTAATGTACTTTATTCAGTGAGGCTGAATGTCAGTTTAGCTGCTGTAAAATGCGGACTTCACATGCGTGAAGCAGAGGGATGAGAGCTCAGCCATGCAAGAGGACACTCGATGGCACAGCGCAGGTGGGCACTGTTCCAAGACGATTTTAAAGCTACGTTTAAGATCCAGACAAGGAGATGCCTGAATCTCGAGTGACAGAATTCTGGGGCTTTCTTTCACCATCCAAACAATATGAACTGGAGCCGTGAATCTTTCAAACTGGTGAAATGACAGCTACCACTGGAGGGTGGAAGATCACCTCTATTCAACACAACAGGTTCAGTGTAGCCGTATCAGTTTAGCTACATGATAAATCCTGAATGTGTTTGTTCTATGTGCTGCCAAATAAATATACAAAACCCTACCAATACAAAATGACAGTGGAGCCTAACAAAGCAATGTTGGATCTAGAATATTTGTACATGTCAGCAGCTCGGTGCAAGCACAGTACGGAAAGATGTGTCACACATTTCTATCTTGTGTAGATAATGAGATCTGAACTGCTGGTAGCTGGCAGCAACATCTTGAACGTGATTAAGCTGATCTAAGACCTGTTTCTTTTTAAGATGATTTCCAGCATCTGCACTATTTTTTGCAGTTTGGAAGTTGAGCTGGAATTGAAGAATTTGCCATAATTCTGTGCCATTTTATATTTTAAGAAAAAATGGACTTACAGGGCAAAGACCAGGTGAGATAATAATAATAATAACAATAATAAACACAGATATGGAAGGGCGAAGGGTTTTGGTGGTACAAATAGAGCTGGAAGAGATGATAATAATAATTCTTGCATTTGATATAGCGCCTTATCACGTCTTCAAGACATCCCAAAACACTTCACAGAATATACTCTAAAGTGAATTGACTGTATATTCTTTGGGCAGATTTCAAACCCAGACTTTCCTGCAGACAGCTTTGTGTCCAGTGCCTCTCGACTTACCTCAAAACAATAATCCTGCCCCAAGATGCTGCTGTGCACAGGTTTGATCATGACCTGTTCCTCCATGCTGAGATCTAGTGCCTCCACAGCACTACTGGGACTGAGCAAAGACTCGTGAGAACGTGATTCTTTCAACCTCGGCATTAGATGTGATCTGTAAGAAAAACACAGAAAGAGAGGGGGTCAGGAATGCTGAAAAACACAGGCTGGTTTCTGCACAGCAACTTATTAGATGAGACGAAATGTAACGGTTAATTCCTTATTGTACGATCCAGTTTACAAACCTCCAATCCAGTTTTACTCCTGTCCCGTAGCTTTGTTGAGGTACTGATCCCTATTGTGGTTTGAGTTAGTTAATCTCAGCCAAATTGCCACAAGTCGGAATCAGGCCATTTTTTCCATCAAGTATGCGCTGGTGTTTTTCTCCACATGAGTCACTGAGTGTAAAACCCACTCTCCTGCTTGTTCCAAGCAAACAACAACAACAACTTGCATTTATATAGTGTCCCTCATGCAGGATAGTGACCCAGAACACTTTGATGCTCCTCTTTTTCAAGCAAAACACGATGAGCCGTGCGTCATTTCCAGCTCTCTGTGTGAACTGCGATCCACACAGGCAAGGAACACGCAGCCTTCTAGCCTTGTGTCATTACTCAGGCGCAGCGAGCTCTACAGACATGGCCTCACTGCCAAAACCATGTGACCTTGATCACGAGCATTACTGTCAAACCAAATCCCAGAGACCTTGTGGCACTTGTGAAACGATTTGACTGAGAAATGAAGACAGCTCATCTCTCGGTTCGTAATTGCATTAGTCCTGCACTGTGGCTCTCAAATCTGGAGCAATTTTAATAATAATAATCCTTACATTTGATATAGGGCCTTATCATGTCTTCGAGATGTCTCAAAGCGCTTCACAGAATAGTAATAATAATAATCCTTGCATTTGATATAGCGCTTTTCACGTCGGGAGGATGTCCCAAAGCGCTTCACAGAACACACTGTAAAGTGAATTGACTGTATATTTTGTGGGCAAAACACGGCAGCCAATTGCCCACAAACAGTCATGGATTTAGTGACCAATTTATTATTATTGTTTGTAGCGAGGAGAACACTTGCTGACTGTGGCAGCGCTGGTTAAACAGCTGCAATACTTGCCCACTTTCATTACGCTTTTCTCACCCAAACATTAATTTGATTAGTGAGGTCGTCTTGTTGAGCAAGATTAATGCTGTTAATGGGCAATGATCATCCGCTACAATTGAAGGGTAGCATTTTTCCACCCACAAAAAAAACCTCAAATGAATTAAGAGTTTCAGTCAACGGGAGTGGGCAGCCAGTGGGTTTTAATGCCTTATAATTGGCAGTAACTGGTACAAGAGTGGTACCAATCACACTCTTGTACAACATAGTGCCAAGCATGAAAATAACAGCAATAATCGTACTGTAGAGTCCCACGTCTCTACAAGATTAATCCTGATATAACTCTTCACAGGGAGCAATAAACAGAAGGAAAGAAGGAGACTTTTAAGGATCTTGACCAAAGACTTGGCCAAAGAGAGAGGGTTTTGAAGGTAAGGTGAGGAGTTGATGGATTTGGGTGAAAGAGCAGGGTCATAGAGGCTAAAGGCTTGGCCACTGATGGTGGGGTGGAGGGAGTGAGGATTGAGCAGTAGAAATGATATAGAAGAGCAAAGGGTTTTGGTGGTAAGAATAGAGCTGGTGGGATTATTGAAGGATTATTACCTAATAATTATTACCCTCGGAAAAACGATCTGCCAATCGACTAACAACCGGGTTTCTACTAATTGCTGGGTAAACAGAGGCGTGCGCAGTAAGGAAACTTGCCTAAGGTTTCACCCAGCCTGGGAATCGAACCTGGATCCTCTCATTTGCGAGGCAAATGCGCTGACCACTAAACCACAGGGCTCGACAAAGGGACTGAAAAATCAATGTACTGGGGGTAGTGGAAGCCAGTGGGGTGATATAAAAAAAAAGTTTTTTTTAAAAAAAAAAGTGTTTAAAAAAAGAGAAAATCTGTTATGTGTCACGCTTCAAATAGAAGAATAGCTGATTTGCTCTTTCTGCACCAGACCTGTCATCGTCTCTGCAACTACCTCATTTACATCCAATCTGACCTTTTTGAAAAACGAAATCCCAGTCATTTTTCAAAAATAATAATGCCATCAAAAAGGTTACTGCCTAAGTGAGGCTGCTACTTTGTCAGCTCGGCTCAGTTTGTTAGCACTCTTCCTTCTGGGTCAGAGGTTGCGGTTCAAGTTTCACGTTGGCTTATAGCACAGACTCAATGCTCAACAACAAATTGCATTTAGCAATGGAAGGTAGCAATCAAATTGATTCTCTGTGGCGTCTCGGTAGCAAGGTGTGTCTACAGTCCTCTGAGCCTGGCTAATCAGCAGGAGGAACAGAGCAACATTGGGCAGGGATTCTTCCAACTTGCCTCCCAATAACCCTGCAAGCCACAGGACGCTTGCTGGTGATTAATGGGGTGGTTTTAGCTCATAACCCACCACACACACTCTGAGGTTCCCAAATCTGGGCACTTGATAACCTGCACATAAACTGTCTGGGATTAGGCAAACAGGATGTGTTCCTCTGGGGAAAGGGTGCACACTCCTTGTTGGACAAACGGAAACCATATTTATATGGAACTCTCAGTAGTTTGGTTTGGAGACCGCTTAAAAAATAATAATAATGTGGTTACTCAATCCACGACTGTTTGTGGGAGACTGCAAGGTGCAATTGGCTGCTGAGTTTCGCCCAGAAAATATACAGTCAATTCACTTTACAGTATATTCTGTGAAGCGCTTTGAGACATCTCAAAGACGTGATAAGGCGCTGCATTAAATGCAAGGATTATTATTATTATTAAGTACGATAGCGGTTTCCACCATTGTAAGATACCTGGCTGATCAAGACAAATGCACATTTTCAATTTGTCTCTGTTGGTTAAAGTTCAATCCTGTGTAGAAGGTTACCAGACACAAAATGCACCAGATAAAGAAAACGCACAAGGAAATGGGGAAAGGGCTTTACCGCTGCTTCCTCCACACACAGAGGGGTAGAAATGCACAGGACAAAGCTGAAAAAGGTTTCTCGTTGACAGAAAATCAACTCTGAACTTCTATCCTGAAGTCATTATTCTAAATCAGAAAACAATCACTTTAACAAGCAGGTTTTGCAACCCATGGTTAGAAATTGAAAGATCCTATTTGTACACAATGACAAATTTCATCAACTCCCAGTAACACTCCCAATATTGATTTATAAGGTGTACACCCAACAACAGCAGGGTGTGCGCAAGTGATCTTGAGGACACACACAACACACTCGAAGAGCAAATGTTTAAAATAAGAATAATAATAAAAAATATTAATAATCCTTATCACGTTGTTGAGACGTCTCAAAACAATTCACATTTTGTGGGCATTTTGCCCTCACTTTAAAGTGAGTTGACTGAGCATTTTGTGGACAAAACACGGCAGCCAATTGCGCACAGCAGCGTCCCGCAAACAGTCATGGATTGAGTGACCAAATTTTTTTAAAAAGGGATTATTACCACCAGAAAGCAATCCGCGTGTGGATTAAGGAAAGTTGCCCAGAAATCAAACCAGGGTCCTCTCGCTTGCGAGGTGAGCGCACTAACCACTACGCCAAGGGACTAGTTTTAAAATTACTGCGATACTGTCCTGAAAGCAAAAGTGGTTGGTTGTACTGTACTCACATAAACAGCAGCACCAGGCGAGAGCTTCTGTCTGGAGGCTAAACGATAATCTCCAAAAGCACAACTCTGCCTGTGAGAGCTCATGGCTTCCAATCAGGAATGATAAGCGTGGAGCAGCCAAGAAGGAAAACTAACAGGTCTCTCTGCTCCAGCTCCCATACATGGACAGCGAAGAACGCAGGAGAAGAAGGAAAGCATTCAGCTGACAACCCAGTGCACCCGGTTCTAATTGGCTGCTCCGCAGACTTGCAGGCGGTGCTAGTCTGTGCAAACACTAGCATTTGCTCAGTTACCAGAATGTGTTGCTTTTGCCTGTCCTGAATCTTTCCTGTTTTTTTGCCTGGAAAGGAAACCGGACCAGTTCGAAATCCCTGAAGAATAAAGAAAACGCTCGAAAAATAAATAATTTGTGACAGATCTAATCGCCTTTCCCTGGAATGCGATCTGATTTACAGTCTAACCCTTTAATGTATAACACAAACATAGGGGAGGCGACATCAAACACACCATGCTCACCACAGGCATGTTGTATTAGTGATATACCATCACACTCGGAGGTTACAGCCGATAATCCGAGGCTGTGCCTGAGACGCCCTGAATTCATACTGCAATGTTTGCAAGTTTTAAACTTGATTTTTTTATGAGAGATTAATATCAGTGGTTTCAATTTCACAATCTCCAGCTTCACGTTATTCCACTGGATACGCAAGTGGAGGAGGCACACGCAGAAAGTATTAATATTAAAATAACAACAACCCAGTTGTTAGTCAATTGGCAGATCGCTTAAAAAAAATCTATAAATAATAATTTAGTCAATCAATCCACGACTGTGTGTGAGATACTGCCGTGCGCAATTGGCTGCCTGCCGCATTTCGCCCACAAAATATAGTCAATTCACTTTACAGTGTATTCTGTGAAACGTATCGAAGACATGATAAGGCACTATATCAAATGCAAGGATTATTATTATTATTATTATAACAACAACAATAACTAGCATTTATATAGCGCCTCTCATGCAGGGCAGTGTTCCACAGGGCTTCTCCAAATACAAGCTCCACTTGTGAGGATCTTGAATTTAATTCACTGGGCGATACATCAAAACACAAGTAACTCTCCGAACCCGTACGCAACCCAGGCGTCAGGTTCGACCCACAATTATCCTTCTTCCCCCACATCCGGTCCCTAACCAGCGCTGTTTTCTTCCACCTCCGACGCATCACCCGTCTCCGCCAATACCTCTCCCCAAAAAGTCTCTGAAACCCTGGTCTATGCCTTTGTCACCTCTCGGCTGGACTGCTCTAACGCCCTCCTCGCCGGTCTCCCATCCACTACCATCCAAATCATTCAAAACTCTGCCGCCCGCATTCTCACCCGCACGAAACTCCGCTCCGCGATTACCCCAGTCCTGGCCAGACTGCACTGACTACCTATCCCAGAGAGGATCGACTTCAAGATCCTCACCCTTGTATTCAAGTCCCTGCACTCCTCTGCACCCCCCGACCTCTCTGACCTCCTCTCTCCCCAAAACAGCACCCGTTGCCTTTGTTCCTCCGGGCCTGGCCTCCCCTTCATCCCCCGAGTCCTCCGCTCCACCCTTAGCGGCCGTGCCTTCAGCCACTATGCCCCGAGGCTCTGGAACTATCTTCCTCACTCCCTTCGTCTCGCTCCCTCCCTTCATTTTCAGGTCTCGGCTGAAGACCTTTCTTTTCAACTGCGCTTTTGGTCACCTTCTCCCCCTCCCCCGGCTCGGTCCCGGGATCCGTTACTGTAAAGCGCTCTGAGACGCCGTCTGGCGTGGAGGGCGCTATATAAATAGCGTTGTTGTTGTTGTTAACGGAACTCAACGCAGGATACCAGCAAACCACTTCCTAATAGGTGACAACGGCTAACCAAACATTTAATAACAATCTTGGAGGGATCTTCAAATGAAACTTGAAGCCTTAGCTAAAACCGCACAAAGGCGGGAAAGCGGTTTGGGAAAGCAAAGCTATCCTGCATTTGACGATATTTGAATATTTCCAATCTGTCATCTTTAGCGCAACAGCCAACTGCGCATCATCGCATCTTTCCATTCAAGCCGGATGTGTGACTCGCCTTCGCCGCCATTGGTCTAATCCCTGGAAAACGCTACCCAAATATAGTGGGGCCTCTGTGCTATTGATTTTGTACGATAGATTTTCAGTAAAACTGGTCTGGATCAAATCCCAGGTAACTCATGCTTCCAGACTGTGACTGTGCTCAGCAATAAACCGCTGCTCCCTCAGCTCTACAATCAGTACTTTATTATTATTATTATTTATCCTCAGACTCTAATCAATAAGAAAACCATTTCAAATGCCTGAAAATCACATTGATACACTGCAAATGTGAACCACTGGCACACGCTTCTGCTTCACGTAGCCACTGCAATGTCCTGAACATCAATCGCTTTCAATGGCAGGACGTAGCCAAAACAGCCTGAAAATCACCAGCAGTGCCGAGTCAAAGCTTTCCCAATCCTGGCAGCGTAAGGGTTAATCAGACCTTTAAGGCTTAAAAGGGTAATTGCCAGTTTGAACAAAACGATTAATCCCTTATGAAAAGGGTTAATTCCTGACCAGCTATTAAGGGATGACTCCCTGATTTCTGTCGCGAAATGATTAATTCACCTCCTGGCGGTGAATGGGTTAATTCCAAATTCCAGGCTTCAAAGGGTTAATAACCGACCCCACCATGAAAAGGTGAGAGCTCAGCAAACATGACCTAGATTAGAACAACAGCAACAACAAAACTACATTTGTAAGGCGCCTTTTACGTCTGGAAGATGTCCCAAAGGCGCGGGATTAAAGAGCGAATGATGAATGCCAGGCTGTGACACATGTTCAAACAATGAGTGACCGTCACTCCTCATCATTACTCAACTAACCAGTGCTGTGACTTTCACACAGTGCTCCGAGTGATTAATAACACTGAATATACATAACCACCGACTTAAAGCTGGGACATCGAACTGACACCACAATCATCAGCCATTAACCTGCACACACCTCCTCCACTCCTCAGCAGCCTCTGGGTTTCTTGCTATTAAAAGCCAGATGTGCTTGATCTGCCAGGCCTTCAGCAGGTAAGTAACATGGGAATTCCTCTTCCAATTCTGTATTGTGATTCGTAAAGGCTACCAATCGAGACCCCCACCACAGGAGGAAAGAGGGGAGAACAAGCGATGGAGCCTGGTAGCTCCAAGGTATGCCCGGAGAGGGCTTTAAAGCCTACAGATGTGCAGGAGCACCACGGTGTATATGAGTTCTTAATATTTTGTTCTCTTCACTCTGTGTCCTTCCTTTGATGGCAGAGCAGATTATGTGTAAAATACAGTGTTTTATTAGGTGTTTCAATACAGCAGATGATGTTTGACCGATGATGATTATGCTCTTTCATGAGTGAGAAAGTCCCATAACTCAGATGCCAGAGGCACTAAGTGACTTACGATGGCTATTCAGTCGAGTGAACGGCAGTTGGCTGTGATACTGAGAGAATGACCTTGCATTCTCGGGCAGCCAGTGCCCATCATCAGATGGTTATGAGCAAGACAGGCATGTGCCAGCGTTACATCTCCTCATAGTAGTTAGGAACAGAAGCAGGCCATTTGAGCTATCGAGTCCGCACCATTATTTTATTAGATATGGAAAATCATATCCTAACCTCATTGTAATGGATCTCCATGCTATTGAAAGAACACTGCTTTGGTAACAATCTACTGTGATGGCTGGGGGGAAATTCAGCTGTTGTTCAGGTTTGGCACCACAATGGGTCTCGCTGGGAAGGCTGACCCTAATGCAGCCAGTCAGGGTCATAGAAACAGGAATAGGCCATTCAGCCCGTTGAGCCGGTTCTGCCATTCTATAAGATCATGCCTGATCTGTACCGCAAGTCCAATTACTCGCCTTTGCCCCATATTCCTTATACTCTGACCCAACAAATATCTATCCACCTCAGTCTTGAAGATGTGAATGGATCCAGCATCCACAGCCTTTTCATAGAATTACAGAATTATACAGCACAGAAGGAGGCCATTCGGTCCATCGTGTCTGTGCTGGCTCTTTGAAAAAGAGCCACTCCCCCGCTCTCTCCCCACAGCCCTGCAAACTTGTCCTCCCCAAATAATGATCTACTTCTCTCTTTAAAGCTGTTATTTAATCGACTGCCACCAGCCTTTCAGGCAATGCATCCCAGATCCGAACAACTCGTTGTGTAAAAAAATGTCTCCTCACCTCCCCTCTGTTTCTTTTAACAACTATTTTAAATCAGTGTCCTCGGGTTACCGACCCACCCACCAGTGGAAATAGTTTCTCCTTGTTCACCCTATCGAATCCCCTCATAATTTTGAAAATTTCTATTGAGTCTCCTCTTAACCTTCTCTGCTCCAAGGAGAATAATCCTCGCTTCTCTCGCCTCTCCTCATAACTGAAGTCCCTCATTCCTGGTACCATCCGGTAAATCTCTTTTGCACCCTCTCCAATGCCTTCCTAAAGTGTGGTTCCCAGAACTGAACACAGTCTATAGCTGAGGCCTAACCAGTACTTTATATAAAGGCCCATCATAACTTCCTGACTTTTGTATTCTACGCCCCTATTTATAAAGCCTAGTATCATGTATGCTTTTTAACAGTGTTATCTACCTGTCCTGCCACCTTCAAAGATTTACTTACATGAACCCCCAGGTCTCTCTGTTCCTTCACTCCTTTAAGACTGTACCATCATCTTATATTGCCTCTCCTCATTCTTCCTCCCCAAATGCATCACTTTTGGGGCAGAGAGTTCCAGATTTCCACTCCCCTTTGGGTGAAAAACCATCTCCCAATTTCATAGAGGTTCTGTTATTGAGCTGTAAAAATATTCTGGCTCATAAATAAAAACAGGGGGGTAGGGAGGAGATAGGAGGTATATTTCAGGGAAAAGTTTGAAATGAAATTTTGACTCAAGTCCGGTTACAGGGCGCATGGCAACACAATGGAAGGAAACCTGGCGTTAAACATTACTTCTCACATACAGTGCAGCTCAAAGTGTGGATTCTGTTTTTGGACTAAAGTAATGAGGTGAACATTTAAAAAAACTTACACATTTATTATTGCATTTACAGCAATTTACACATTAAATGAAAGCTGATTTTATTCCTGACGGCAGCAATCCAGTTGACTGAT